CACATCTTCACAAATTCATGATATTTTTACTTAAAGCTGGGTTATAAAATATTTTCTTTAGAAAAATTAGATATTTACACTAATTTGAAATCTAGTCATATGCAAATTTGTGAATTAATTGGGCAATTAGAACCAAAATAATATGCGACCACGCTATCTACGCAATTTGGCTAGCTGGGTATTTACCAACTGTCATGTTTCGTGGGACACCCGGTAGCCTTATAGGTACCGTGTCCGCCTACTGTTGAGTGTTGAGTCAGGGCGGTCACTCATTTTATTCACCAGACCAGGTCACCAGTTACTTGCGAGTCACATACCGACAAACACATAAGTTACAGTCTACCTCACATCAGCTGCAGCAGAAGAACAAAAAAACGAAGTTTTTTTTTATGCGTCATTATGTTTGTTAAATTTCGAACAAATGTCACATGGGATAATTAAACAAGTATAATCAACAATCAACAAAAGCTGGAAGCAAGAATTTAACAGAAATAATTAACTATCACTGAATTTGATGTTAAATATGTTTAGTAGAAGTACCGTGATTTTTTATATTTACTATTTATTTGTTGGTATATTTTTATCCTTTTCCTCAATATAACTGAGCATATTAATATCTTTTGTACAGTATTTTCTGAATGATAAGCAAATATGCAACTAAAAAATAGTACCAATGTGTTCTCAACATAGTGTTCTCTATAGAACACAGGCAAGTACAAAGTATTTTTTACATCACAAGTTTAGTACAAAGTGTTTCCTACATATTAATAGGTAAGTACTATAGTGCTCTACAAAACAATAGGTAAGAACATATGTGTTCTCATCAGAACATTAGGTAAGTACTTATGCGTTTGGTTTTGTTCTTTGGTACGTCGAATAATGTTATTCAACGTAACTTTGGTGAAAAATGAGCATATATTTTGGATTGATAAAAATCAAATTTTGGTTTCTTGTAAACATATTGTCATTGTTACGTAAAATAACATTACTCAACCTAACTTTTGTGAAAGCTGCTTCCATATTTAGGGTTCATTAACATATAGTTTGGTTCATCCACAGAACCATACTTTGTGTTACGTTAATTAACGTTACTTAACGTAACTTCTGTGGAAACTATGCCCATATTTTGGGTTTCTTTTGTAAAAGCTGCTTAAATGTTAATGGTTCATTGACGTAAAAGTTAGGTTCATGTACACAACTATACGTGCATTGTTACGTTAAATAACGTTACTTAACGTAACTTCCGTGGAAACTGTGCCCATATTTGGGGTTTCTGAAATAGGAGAGTTGAGCTATTAACAGCTCCAACACAGGGAGCCACTTGACTCCTTCATGATGATGACGCAGATATTCAGCTAGCAGCAGGCGTGCTTACCCAAGGGTTCCCAGTTCATCATGCATTCCAGAGACAACATAATCACTCAAAAACCAGCATGATAAAGCCGCGATTTCTGCCTACTAGGTTGGATAAGCCCTGTTGTTCCAAGTTCCTGTTGATCTGCTCCACCAACATGAAGCTCTACAACACTCCCATGAATTGCCCACAAATATTCATCATGTATTCCTTTGTTATTTTCTAAACCAACCAATTTTAAACTTGTCTTATGCAAATATTTTAAACCAATATCGTTTTTTTAAATAAATGTTAAGAAATATCCATTTCAGATCTCTTTGTTTTATTATAGTGACTTTTAAAGTCAACAACTGTACACGACCAATCAGGAGGCATCTATATTGGGATATTTAAGGATCCTTTGAATAGGAAATGCAAAATCTTTAAAAAGCGACAATATTCTGAAAAGTTATGTCTTATGTTTAAAATGGGAGTATTTCTTTAAAAGTTGTAAAACTTAACCCCTGAATGCAACAAGTGGCTGTGAGATGTCAGTCAAAAAACATTACATGGAATCGTAGCATGGTGTGCTGGGACATTATAGGCCTGCTCAGCCTATCCAGGTAGAGTTTATGAGCAGCCTGGGTAGTCTGTGGTTTGAACAGAGTCAACAAAAGTGGACATTATTTCAAGAAACAAAGGTGTACGTTCTGTACAGTGTACACAGAGTCGGAAATTTAGCAGAGCATCGTTGAACAAAGGTCTCAAGTTTCCTTATTGGGGTCTTAACATTTGTATAGATATTGATTTAAGAGATTTAAAAAATGGAGAATATGAAGAAACTAAATAAAATAATAGTTCATCACAAAAATATTGATATCCACAAAACCCCCAAACAACATTCATGAAACCCGGTTCCAAAACTGGTTTTCATAACGATACCCTGTCTTAAGTTTTGGGCTCTGATGAAGCTTGCAAAAATCTCTCAAATTTTTCCCAAATATGATCCTTTAAAACATCTGAATCTAGAAGTAAGACCAATAGTTGATGCGTAATTTTCCATTTACAGTTTGATCAGAGTTGTGTTGTATAGACAAAATATTCTTTACAGGGTTACCCACATAGAATAAACTATAAACTTCTTTCTTTCTTTTCCAAATCATGAAATAAGCCTTTTACAGACTACATTCAAGACAGAAGACTTTATTTAAACTTAAAGGTACAGACCGGCTATGTAAGGTAGTTGAACTGAGTATGCAGTGTTGTGGACAAATTCTTTCAATTGAGACCTATAACACTTTAAAAGGTCTGTATATCCTGAGTTTGAGCACAAAGTCGACGTTCAAAATCGTACTTTTGGGAGGATACTTTTTCAGAATTTTTTTCTAATTATTAAATTACGAGTTACGACGACAAAAAATGTGAACGAAATTCAACTGTAAACTAATAAGCTGTTACCGGAACATGTTGAGAAAATAAAAATTAAATCTTATCATCGAAAATCTTATTCAATTATTAGTTTCTTAATCTCTCCTTAATCACAAAGATTGTCTGCAGATTTTCTGGAAATTTTATTAAAAAGACGACATTTGAAGAATTTGAAGAAATCTGCGAACAAATTCATAGCAAATAAAAAATTCAATATAATGATGAAAAAGGAAATAATTAATTATAACTTTGATTCTTTGACAAATTTCTTTTGAGAAATATATGTTCCTAAACATCTAATTTGTTTACTATAGAATTTTTACTATATTTTTCGTCGTCGTTATTTAATAATTAAAAAAACCGATTCTGAAAACATACTCACCCAAATTCATGATTTTGAAAGTCAATTTTGCACTCAAACTCAGTAATTACTAATTATACATCGTGGAAACGTTTTTAAGGTCTCAAATGAATCCTAAAGAATTTGTCCACAACACTACATGCTCAGTTTAACTACCTTACATATAGCCGGTCTGTTCCTTTAAGATCGTCATATTGGAAGAGTTTTAAGTTGTCTTTGCTGTCTCATCCTTTGTGGGTAACCCTGTACATTACTCGGAATTCTAAATGTAACATGAAAAAAGATTTATGATAAATCTTTTATTTTTCAAAATCCAAATAAACACATTTAGGGTGTTTTTTTTTTTACTTCATCAGTTTATCACTTGAATTATATTCCTAAATTAGTGAAAATGTATATTTTAAACAAACTGATTAAATTTTCAAACCAAAAAAAGGAATTTAGTCTTTGCCAGAAACTCAAATTTTCTAATCCCTTATAATTTTGATATTTAAAACTTTAAGTATATGATCCAAAAGAATTCATGGTTTGAAATATCTAAGTCTTTGACATTGTGTTGCAAAGGTAAGGATTAGAAAATCAGAGTTGGGGACAAAAACTCAATTTCTTTGAACTAACCAATTGACTCAAAATGTCGATGTAAAATTTGTTTTCAGCAGTTTAAACTTTAATGTAACATTTCTTATTCAATTATCAACATCAAGAATGTGTTCTCAAGAGTCAAATTTGTTCATCAGATGTATTGTGTGTGTATTACCTGTTTTTTTGCTGGCTTTCTTTTTTTATCTTTCTTCTTTCTTTTTTTAATCGGTTCGGCTTTAACGTAGTTTTGTAACTAGAATGTTGTTGAAATTAAATCTATAATATTATAATTAATAATTAAATGTATAAATAGAGAGATTTAAGTTTGCTCCTTCACTGGAGGAGTAAGGGAACCCCAGGACGCCATAAGCCTTCCCTATATGCAGACACTAGCCTCCCAAATTTGCTTGGCAGACCAAGCCTCAACCATGCAGAAATCAGCATGTGCAATACATGAAAATGTGCCTGTGTAAGTGTAATACAGGAGGCTTTGTTAAATTTTTGTTTTAGTTTTAAATAAAAGATTTTTTCAAATTTTTTGAAATAGTGGCATAAGAGGTGTCTCAAAGATGAGAAGTATTTATTAATTATCATAGATAGTGCCTAATTATGACTCATAAAGTGGGATATAAAACTATATACTTTTTTTGCATGAAAAGGATAATATTTAGAGAAAACATTTGAATTGAAATTCATTTTATCTTTTATAATCATTGATTTAAGCATGACCTTTTCTGTATTTTAAATTAAATTTTTTATCATTTATTTAAATTTTAAAATTTTTTTTTAAAAAAAGGTACTGTTTAAATCAAAGAATACAATAAAACAAAACAAATTTACTTCAGAAGTATTTCTCTAGTTATCTCCTTTAAAGTTTAAGTATAAATCTTACAAACCACTTTATGAGTCCATATATATTTCTAATCATGACAATCAATAAATAACTCTAATCTTTAGTAAAATTCTTGTGCCACTACATCAAATAAAAAAATTGTTTAAAATTTTCATTGCACATAAAAACCAAGATTTAAAATAGGTGTTGTATTGTGGAGGCTCCTTTACTGCATAGCAGAGGCATTGTCTGCATAGTGGAGGCTCGGTCTGCCTAGCAAATCTGGGAGGCTTGTGTTTGCATAGCAGAGGCTCATGGCATCCAGGGTTTCCCTCCCTCACTGGAGTGGAGGCCACTAAAGGGAATGCTCATTTATAGCCCAATACCAATTACTCCATCACAAGAAAGGTAATACAAAGGTCACTAATTATTCCATCACATTGGAATGAAGGTAATCAGGACACTAATTATTTTATCAAAGGCAGTTGCCCAAGGAAGTTACATTCCCTTGCTGGAGGGAAAGTAAGTTAGTAATTAAAATAATTAGGACACTGATTTATCCATCCCTTTAAAATAGTAATTTGTGTCTTTTGGAAATTATTTTCCTCTCTGGTGGCATCTGCTCCAGCGCTGCAGTGTAGAAAAATTGAAAAAAAATTTCAACAAACTTCAATCTCTTGCATATAATACATGTCATAAATACCTCCAGTGTCAGGTCATTTTTTTCCCCATCTTCCTTCTTTGAACCAGGAATTTTCTCAAACCCTCCAGATCGGAAGAAATTTTCTGACTTAAATAAAGTTTTTATTTATTTTCATTATTTTTCAGCAGTTTTCTGGCTTTTTGGAGTCTTTACCAAAATATAAGAAGTAAAACATATTGTATGCTTTAAATGTTAGATTTACTTCACAAACAGTTTCCAAAATGTTTACTCTGGTAGAACTTTCAAATCGTTTGTTAACGTTTGTTTGGCCAGCAGCCACATGATCACAATTTTTATGAAAGGAAATTTGATGTAAATATAATGTTGAGTTGCATAGGATTTTGTTGAGTATCCTGGAAGCCATAACCTCTTGAAAGTAAAATAAACAGATCAACAAGGTGGCTTATCCAGTATCTCTTAGATTTATTTAGACACAGAACAAACAAAACAAACAAGCAATCAATCATCATTCTGTAGAAGTCAGGGCTGAGACTTAATCAAAAAAACCATAAGATACAGCTATTAATGTACCAATTGGTTATGTCACTAGTCTAGTGTGGCCAACTGTTGAAGTACAGACCAATGACATCTGCCAGGGCACAAATTCACACTAAAAGCCACCTAGGATACTGATAGTCCATCTTGGTACCACAGTAGTTTGAAACTGTCAAAAAATATTAATTTAATTTAATTGATTAAATAGAAAATGGATTGCATTTGGAATTGCGTAAGCATTTATATGGAACTCCAAAATCCCAAATCTTGGGCTCCACACGTGGGCAAGCCAGGATCATATGAAACTCTAGCTAAACATATAGGGGCAAGAGACATGGACACACCCGCACCTATTTCCCAGCTCCTTGTACCGATTTCCAAGCTCTGCATTACCTGCCCTGACCCTACAAAAGGCTTATACTAGAGTCATTCACTAAGCCTTAAAACTGAAATTATTTCCACAACTGAATTGCTGCAATCACTATGGTATGGTCTGTATATCAAAGCTGACTGCTATCTCCAAACATTGCCTTCTGAAACTCCTTCTTACTTGCAAACTCCACAATTACTCCCACATCCCTTTTGATCTCTATCCAGGACTTCACCCAGGATTCTGACTGAAACTCACAGCCTCCTCACAATTCAAGATTACTGGAATGGCACATGACTCCCATAGTCTCATGGCTAGGATTGCCTGATCAAGAACACCCCTAGACAAGTTCATGATGGCAATGCATAGTTGATGACCTTACAGATGATATCCATCTTTTAGACCCCTTTATCGATCTACCATGCACCTGGATAGTTATGTCAAGATATTTTGCTACCAATATTTCCTCATTTGAGACATATCCACCTTCCATAGAATCTCATTGGGTAGTTTAGTTAGTATATATGTCTTGGAAGGTTGCAGGCTTCATATGCATGTCCATGCAGAATCGTGGAATTATTCTGAGAAGCCTGTTCATTCCACTCTTAAGGGTCTTTAATAGCAGGAGCAGCAGATTGTCCACTACCTTCCCCAGGTTGACAGCAAGCTTGGTGCTGTCTAAAACCTCCCCTAGAAAGGCGTTATATACACCGCAAATAACAATGGTTAAAGGCTGTACCTTTGCTTGACAACTTGTGTGAAGTATAACAGATCTAACTAAGTTTATCTGCACATAGTCATTTTAGTACATTGAACCTGTGAGAGATAACACCATCCCCCCAAAGCCAATGTTCCTGAGCTTCGTATAGATCAGCTCCTGGCAAATGAATCATAGGCTTTCGCAATGTCCCAGAATGCCAGTGATATTGACTGGTGCTTTCTTTCACATTCCATAACACTGGGAGGATCATGAAAACACAGTTGACCATTGAATTTCTACTTCTGAACCCATAATGAAGTGGGCCATAGAAACCCTCCTCCCACAAAGGTGATAACCGGTTTCAAACTGCTCTCTCTATATATAAGCTGTTTCTACTTTGATTCTTTATTTAGATGGTGATACTTCATAGATTTTCTTACAGTTTAACAACAGATGAAAGATGAACAATTTTTTATAATGATTTCATTTTAATACTTACACAAGTGTCATCTATTAAGAAAATAAATCAAAATATGTCTACATCAGTGTCCATAGTTGCTTTAGGCCTTACTGAAGCTATACTCAGGGTTCAGGCATATACATTCAAAAACGCTTTAAGGCGTGGGCGTAACAATGGAAAAACAATCGGCAATGTACAAATTCTATATAGTAAAAAATGGCCATAGATCAAATGCCTAACTCAAAATCAAAACACTGTCACTTCTTTTAACAGTTGTTGACCATGGGACTTGAACATTCTTAAAGTATGACCCATGAAGACTTGGCCATCTCAGTGATCATGTGTAACAATTGGAAAACAATTGGAAATGTACATATTCTATATAGTAAAAATGGGAATACATCAAATGGCTAATTTTAAAACACTGACCAATAGACAGAGTTGATCTGTTTCCATTTTAAACAAGCCTGATAATTTTGCTTAGCATATATTTTGAAATAGATGATCTAGTTCCACTGGCAAATTTCAATTTCTAAACTTTTGTCAGAAAATAATCCATTGAGCTAGGGTGTTCTGATGAGGTTAGCTTTGCTTTTGATCTCCACAACTTTTCTTTATTTTGGCCATTCTCTGGGCTATTCTTGTGTTATGGGATCTGTGAGAACCTCTGGATTAATTTATCTCTTTGGTAGATCCCTGTATTGTTTACCCTTCTGTAGGTTTTTTCTTCTTCTTCCAGATTTTGATCTCTATTTCAAATTTTTGTTTGTTTGTGTTTGTTGACTTTACCAGGGTTTAATGGGCATTAGATTCACTGATTTTTAGTAATCACAAATCCTCTCTCTTTTATGGGTGACTACTGTCTATCTTTCTGACTGCTTGGCTCAGCAGGTTAATGTAATTCAAACAGATCTGAATAACATATATTCTACCTAGAATATATCTTTTGTTCCTTTAAACTTTTTAAATAGGCATGGATGTATGATGAGAAATGGCCTTGTTTAAATTTAAATAAATAAACAAAAAAATAGTTTATTAGGCACATGTAAATACATATACAAGTAGGGATGTTAACGTTTTCATTTTTCAAAACGATCGTTTTTTAAAATTCATTGTTTCGTTAACGATCATTGATGACAACCCTTCGTTAACAATTGTTAACGACGACCCCTTCGTTAACAATCGTTAACAAAGAGAGGAAACCGACCTGAAGGGCATATGTACTTATCATTGAGTAGTTTTTAAGAAAATATCAAGGAGTTTTAACTCCCCCACAACTGTTAAACTTCATGTAAGACATTCAATAAAGTTGCATATAATTTTTTTTCCAAAAACTACTGTTTTGATAAAGTTTGTCGTTTTGTTAACGTCTTTAATGATGACCCTTCATTACCGATTGTTAATGACGACCCTTCGTAGACGATCGTTAATATAATTGTCAATAAAATTTTTTTTAAATCGCATAAAAAACGGTCGCAAATTCTTTTAATAAAAACGAGTGGGTCGTTTTTAAAAACGATCGTTTTTTTCAGAAAACAAAACGATCGTTTAGTGATCATTTAACGAATGTTTACAAAAACAATTAACAACCCTATATACAAGGGTTAAAAACACATTGATGAATTCTATGATTTTACAGTGCCAGGAAACCAGGAGATCTAAATATCTGGCTGTCTGGTCCAGGTTCCTGAAAACTTCAGATTATGATGAGTATGATATGTTGAAAGTAAAAAAATGAAGGAGGGGTGAATATTTGTGCCATGATTTATGTTCATTTTTGTTTTCTTTCTTTCTTGCCATCTTTTTCCCTCTTGAGGGTTCAATCTAACCTTCAATCTCTACATTCACCCTTTAACACACATTCACACTCTGATGTGGTGTTTCGCTACTTAGCGATTTCCCTAAAGACCTAATGTATATACCGTGCGGTATTTCTCAAGATTGGATTGTAAGCCTTCCTCCTCTCAACGCTCTCCATAACAAAGGATAATAATAAGGTTCAGAACGTTTATTTCTCGAAGACTTCAATCAAAATAAGTTTAATAAGCCCACAGAAAAAGCTTTGAGTGATAAATCATATGAATACAACAAATAATCCACTCAGGCATTAAAAAACTGTGGCAAGGAACCAACAAACACATTTACAAATATCAATCATAATATACTCAAATGATAGCATACATATATATAAGAAAATAATTACCGCAGTGATCCTAGAATTATAAGCACGGTTAGCACGGTTACACTTGCAAGACAAACAAACATATACTAAATACAGAAACTGTTCACTCTCACGCGAGAAATCTTGTGCCTGCGTAGTCAGTCTGTAAACAGCTCCTAAAACTAGTTTTTTCACAATACGTTCTGTACAGATCCGCAGGGAGAACTGTTCTGTTTCTTCTTTGATTCTTTATTTAGATCGTGATACTTGATAGATTTTCTTACAGTTTAACAACAGAGGAGGGAGGAGAGTTTAACTGAAATTATAGATTGAAGTATTGTAGCAACAATCTAACATTGATTAGAACTATTTATATAATGATTTCATAAAGATACTTTTACGAGTGTCATCTCTTAAGAAAAATATGTCTACATCAGAGTCCATAGTTGGTTTAGGTCTTGCTGAAGCTATACTCACTACTCAGGGTCCAGGCATATACATTCAAAAATGCTTTAAGTGATACTTGATAGATTTTCTTACAGTTTTACAACAGATGAAAGGGGGAGGAGAGGTTAACTGATGTAGATTGAAGTATTGTAGCAACAATCTAACATTGATTAGAACAATTTTTATAATGACTTCATAAAGATATAATCATGAGTGTCATCTATTAAGAAAAGAAATCAAAATATGTCTACATCAGCGTCCATAGTTGGTTTAGGTCTTACTGAAGCTATATACTCACTACTCAGGGTCCAGGCATATACATTCAAAAATGCTTTAAGGCTTGCACATAACAATTGGAAAACAATTGGCAATGTACATATTCTATATAGTAATACACTGTCACTTCTTTTAACAGTTGTTAACATTGAAGTGCAACCCATGAAGACCTTGGTCATCTCAGTGATCATGGTGTCCTTAACTGTGACTATCTTACCATCACAATCCTTAATTGCTGCTAATGCCCCTTTCTTTTTCTCTACTCTCCTTGCTAAATTTTGAAACTGGTTCTCTATACTGTCTTCTGTGATCTTAATATCCCAGTCTTTTCTATATAGCTAAATCTCTAACTCATTCTTTTCATCTGGTCTGCATCTGACCAGGGCAGATTTTTTTATTATTTCCTTGTTCTGGATAACATTAACCTGTTCATATTCCTCTCCACTACCTGCCTTCTAGCTCAGAGTTTTTTATGCTGACCACCTTCCAGACCTTTTATGGTCTATCCTACTCCCCCCCCCCCCACCACCCATAAACTTCAGTGTTTGCATCGACCAAGATCTCTTGTAGTTTCTCACACTTTTGATCCAGAGTGAGGCTCTCCCAGCCACACTTTTCAAACTGCTCCTCCATAGTGGTATTTGCTTTGGACTTCTTTGGTTTCCTTCTCACGGTCTAGCAACAACTCCACCCTTAGCACCACATGGTTGATACCAGAGATTAACATCAGACCCAGTCACAGAAGGAGCACCAATGGTCAGGCCTAATGTCAGCCTTAATTATGGCTAGGTTGGGCTTCTATCGAGGGAAATATTAGGATTCATGGAAACCTGCACGAAGACTAATTGCCATGTGCAGCTGCACAAAATGAAAACTGATAGACAGGGGCAACGCAGGGTACTAAATAAATATTTTATTGGGACCTCTGTTTGAAACACTTTTAAGGTAGACATATTTTGTACCTTCAAATTCTTTTTGTATTCCTTCTTCTTCTCCTCCTCCTCCTCATCCTCTTCCTCCTCCTCATCCTCTTCTTCCTCCACCTCCCCCTCCTCCACCTCATCCTCTTTGTCCTCATCCTCAGTTTCCTCTGAACCAGGAAGCAGACCATCCGATTTTAATCTTTCTTGCCACGGTTTCTTTCTTGTGGATTTCCTCATGAGTGATCTAAACATATCTGCTGCAGTGTCCACGTGCTTTTCACGACCCATCGACTAAAAGATATCCAAGTTAATTATATGGAATTTTATCTTAGCCAGTTTTTAGCACTTTTAAAAACAACACAGTGGACAGAACATATCAATTCCATTGATAGGAAATTTTATTGATATGACAATTTCATTGAATGGACATTTTATTAAAATGACATGATATTGGTAAAGATATTTCATACCTAGAACATTTATTGACAAAGAGAATTTGGTCTTAAAGATGAATAACTATAAAAACTAAATTTGTAAGAATTGGTCTCTCTCTTCTTTCTCTGTCTCCCCATGCAAAATGTAAATTACTAGCTGTTCTATGAGTTGTTCTAACTTTCCCTACTTTATCTATCTCCCTTTTATATGAAAGTTTAAAGTTTACAAAAAATATCAAATAATTTTGTTTTATTTTATAATTCTACTCTATAAAATGTACTATCCTTGAAAATTCCTATCCATAAAATGTTATATTAATGATATGTTCTTTCTCTGAAATGCCCATCTATGACACTTCTTTTTTTTGAAATTTCCTATCCATGACATCTCATATCCATCACATGTAAATCTTTAAAATGTTCATCTATAAAATGTCTATCTATAAAATGTCCATCTTTTAAACGTCCCAACATCAATTTTTGTACATAAATCATATCAACATATAGTCGTCATCCTTTGATATTTCAACCTTTGAATTCTGATAATAATTCTGATACACAATCAGGTTGCACAGATATGGGTTAAAGTTTGGGTGGAGTAAACCTTATAATTAAATATTTTATTTATTGTACCTTCAGCATATTTCTTAAAGTATAATCATCTCCAACCACCACTGGTTCTTTCTGTGCTTCATTCAGCCCATCTAGAACAAGCACCAATAAACCAAAAACTGATCACTTGCCTCAAACTCACATTTTCTAATCTGTATATCTTTGCAGCATGATGGTTTAAATCTTTGATATTTTAAACTCAGACTGTGTGATCCAACCTTAAACTTGGAAAGCTAGAGGGATGAGAAATATTTTTTGTGAATCAGTGAATTAATTGACTTGAAGTTTGTAAATCAGCGAATCAAACCTAAAGTTTGTAAATCAGTGAATCAAACCTAAAGTTTGTAAATCAGTGAATCAAACCTAAAGTTTGTAAATCAGTGAATCAAACCTAAAGTTTGTAAATCAGAGAATCAAACCTAAAGTTTGTAAAATCAGCAAATCAAACCTAAAGTTTGGAAAATCAGCGAATCAAACCTAAAGTTTGTAAATCAGTGAATTAAACCTGAAGTTGATAAATCAGTGAATTAAACCTAAAGTTTATAAATCAGTGAATTAAACCTAAAGTTTGTAAATCAGTGAATTAAACCTGAAGTTGATAAATCAGTGAATTAAACCTGAAGTTGATAAATCAGTAAATGAAACCTGAATTTTGTAAATCAGTGAATATAAGCTGTTAAGTTGTTAAATCAGTGAATTAAACCTGAAGTTGATAAATCAGTGAATTAAACCTGAAGTTGATAAATCAGTAAATGAAACCTGAATTTTGTAAATCAGTGAATATAAGCTGTTAAGTTGTTAAATCAGTGAATTAAACCTGAAGTTTGTAAATCTCCAGATGTCTTGTTTTCTTCGACTTTGTTTACATGATTAGAAACCTCCTCCTGCCCCTGTCCTCCTATTTACAAATCTTTTTAATTTTAAAATTCTGTTTATTGTAAATTAATGAAATCTGAATTTTATTGAAATAATTACCTGTTTGAACAATATATATTTTAGCGGTTGTTTGTTTGGTTGCGAGGAGTAGAAACACAGATGCTTGAACAATGCTTAGAAAAATAACATAGAAGTGAAAAGCTGGAAACTATTGATTGGTATTATATTATATTATAAAAAATAATTACTTTAGAGGTGTCAGTTTTCTGCTGATCAGGACCATATCAGATTTTTTCTGCTTCATTTTACCTGAGGAGACATTTTAGAAAAAATAACTGTTTAAATAAATAGATTTTTAGTCAAACATTCTGATTTCTCATCTCCTTTCAACTCACATCCTTTAAATTTTTCAATATTAATGAATTTTTTTACTGCTAGAATGATATTTATATATATATACCACAATTTTGCAAATAATTATGAATTGAAATTTAACACTAATTATATAAAATTAACAGAAGTCCTCCAATTTCAAGGAAATTAATGGAAACATTTTGAAAAAAATGTGGAATCATTTTCATGACATACAGTTTTTTTTTATTTAAGGTCTAACATTCTTAATGTTGCAATTGCAAACATACTGTACAGTTAAATAAAACATATTTGAAGGTGTTTATATATTTTTATGCATCTTTAACACTAACAGTTTTTTTTTACACCTTACAAGTTTCCTTTTATTAATTTTCTAAGATTCTTCATCACATTTTGACTAAGTCTTTCCTTTAATATAGATAATCAACATTATAAGAAGTAAAATTTTTATCTGGTTCTAGGAAGAAACCGGCATTTCCCGGAAAATACTCATAGATTCTAAATCCATAATTTGTAGAAATCAAAAATCTACACAACTTTTATAAGAAAGGGCCACCCTGGCCGCCATGAGCTTCTGCATTACGCAAACGAGCCGTACACATTATCCAAAACAGTAAAATCCTTTGCTGTATACAGTACTGAGCCTCCACTATACAGGTTAAAAACCACTGGATATATTTGATAACAATTTGAACAATTTTTCAGACACAAAAGACTTATTTAGTGATTTTCCTGATTTGTAACTTTTAATGCCTCAAAAAATTTAATACATTACTTACACAGAAAGTGAGATAGTTTGAGAAAATATTCTTGAGTAAATTTAGTTTATTTTAATACATTTCTTACACAGAAAGTGAGATAGTTTGAGAAAATATTCTTGAGTTAATTTAGTTTATTTTAATACATTTCTTACACAGAAAGTGAGATAGTTTGAGAAAATATTCTTGAGTTAATTTAGTTTATTTTGTTGTAATCTTTAATTTAAAAGCGCTATGGTTAAAAGATTTTTTTAATGAATTAAATGAATTGTTTCTGGCAAAATCCTTATTTCTATAAAATGTCTAGATCATTAAATATGAAAGATATGATTAAATTCAATACAATTTCCTTTTGATACAGGAAATATTTTATTGTAGATAATTTCTCAACGCATGTTGAAAAAGTGAGAACAAAATTACTTCTCAAAAATGTTAACTTAAAAAATCCTAATTGGCGCAGGTTTTTTTGACTGTATGGCGAAGATTCATACTCTCGAATGTCGATAATTAATTTTTAAAAAATCTTCCAGGCAAAAATGTTGACATTTACTAATGCCTGATACGGAAAAATCCGTGAAATTATTAGTTTTGAGATTTACAAAGAAAAATGGCAGCTTAAAGAGCAAGGGTTAACAGCTAAAATTTTACAAAGAAACTGGCGCGAATCAATGTGTATCAATATCAATATCAATGTTTATACAAATTAGTAATAGTTTTCTAAAGCTTGCATCCTTATCTCTCATTTTAAACTTTTAATATTTTTTGTCATTCAAGAAACTTCCCATAAATTTTAAAAGTTTCTAAATTGTATGCTTTATTTTAAATTTACTCTGTAGTATAAAGTTATTAATATTTATTATAAAAGGAAACTGGTGGAAAAATAACTTTTTTGAAGAATTAAGCTTCGCAGATTTGTCTGTAGCCTAAAAACCAAAATAAAAAACAGATGGAACAGGATGATCATTGCCAATGTACTATTTCAAACAAGTCTAAGTTGGGCCAGTGTCACGTTAAAAAGCGTCCGGAAATGAGATAATACTCAGGCTAATGCTTTTTGTTCTCAAAAGATCAAATTTCAAAACATTTAATAGATTTTTTTAGATTTTACGATATTTTATTATATATTTTTTCATGGTCAAGAGATAGAAATTAGAATATCCATGTTTTTAATTCTTTGAAAGGAAAACGATATTTGAGACAAAAACTTTTTAAAACATTTTTTTCTAGTATTGCTATATTTAAAAACTAATTTAACTATATGTGTAGGTTTAGCAAGTCTAAGCTAGGGTTCACTGACATAGGGTCAAACGACTTAGGGTCAAATGCATAGGTTCAAACGACAAAGGGTAAAACGACCTAGGGTCAAACAACAAACAGTCAATAATGCAACAAGAGTAAACTGACAAAGGGTCAAGATGTAAAATAATATTTTATGTATAATTTCAGGATTCAGTTAGGCTAAGACAATTTCTGGGCCAAGCACTGTGGCTAGGACAGGCTAGGGGGGGGGGGCTGAGCACTGTTTCTACTAGTTCTTATGAACATAAAAATAGTTCAAATTAACCAAAAGATAGTCTAACTAGAATTTTGCCTGTTTTTCTCACTTTAATTGACCCTATGTTGTTTTACCCTTTGTCGTTTGGCGCTTTGTTGGGATTTTTAACGTTTCTAATTTGACCCTATGTCCTTTTACCCTATGTTGTTTGACCCTTTGCCATTTGAACTTAGATCGTTCGACCCTATGTCGGTGAATCTAAGCTAGGGTTCATTTCAGGAATTTAAAACCTTAAAATCAGGCATGGAAACTTTTAAATTGACGTCAGAAATTTAACTTATATCATAATTTTATAAACCTGATCTCACTTAAACCCAACACATCAAGGTTTGATTTAAAAGTGCATTATTAAACCTCTGATATTTACTTGATTATTGTGACAATCAAGTGAAACAAACTAACCATATCTAATCAGATAATTACCTGCATAAAGTCTGGGTGCTACAAACTTGTTTTTCAATTGAATTAAAATCTTTAAATTCATTCTTCAATCATCTTGAAATGGTGTTTATCTAACCAAGTAAGAAGTGTTTTTTTGTAAAAATATTTCTGACATTTGATTAATACAAGCGTACACCGCCATTATTAAACTTTTACTGTTTATTAATTAGAAAGTTTATATAATATCAAATACCTTAAACTTCTAGAGAAATTAATGGAATATTATCTTACAAAATAAAACGATTTAGATATCTTAGGGTAGTGATTCATGAATAGTTATCTAGACTATAGTTCAATTACTAGTTCAAATAATTGTTCAACTTCTAGTTCAATTACAAGTTAAACTTCAAGATGAACTACTAGTTTAACTACTAGTTCAACTACTAGTTTAACTACTAGTTCAACTACTAGTTTAACTACTAGTTCAACTACTAGTTCAATTACTAGTTCAACTTCTAGTTCAACTACTAGTTTTACTACTGGTTCAACAACTAGTTCAACTAACTATACCTATCTATACACTGTTTAAATAGTTAACCTTACAGTACCTATCTGTACACTGTTAGAAGAGTTGAACTAACTGTACCAATCTATACAATGTTAGAATAGTCGAACGTAAAGTACCTATCTTTACACTGTCAAAATCTAAACAATGTACATTTTCACAAAACATTGAAATAATATTAGAAAATAAGTATTCAAAACATGATTTGAAGTATTATATATATATTTTTTATACAATATATGTAATCTTAAGTACCTGATACACATCAGCAAGTAGTATTGTGATTACTTTAAGTTCTAATTTTCATATTGAAGTTCAATTCTGTAATACGAGAAATAAATATTTAAAATATTTATATGATTTTTTTAGTTTAATCGCAATAAAATTTTAAAAAATTGTTCCATCTTTCTGGAATTTGTAAGAATGTTAAATTTTAAGATTTATTTCTAAATACAAATTTTGACGTTCGTTCATGAAGAATTTAAGTTAAGTTCAATGCCGCAATTATTTTTAAAAGAAGAAAAAGAGAAAAAGACGACAATTCCGCTGATTTCTTGTTACCACTCTGCAGTCTGCAGTGAAGATCAACACTTACTTTTTTCAAGAAAATATGAAAGCAAAGTAATTTCTTGATTATTTTAAGATTGCCGGTTATTTTACTTATTCGCTATAAACTTTACACCTAGAGCCGGGTGTCGTTCTTTCATGCAAGAACGAATGGAACTATCAAAAACAACCCAATCGTTCCAAAAAAAATAACCATGAAAGCAAAGAACACGTTTTTAAAAATATTGGAACGGAGCGGAGAAGAACAGAACGAGATCAGCTTAAAAGAACATTTAAAATCAAGAACGCTTTCTTATTATCAAAAACGCGTTCTAAATCATCTAGAAATTATTATTACTTTATCCCTCCCCCCCCTTCCCCAGTCTCCCTCTCGCGTGAGGGAGCGGAGATTTAGGTTAAAAGAAATTGTTTTCTATAGTTTATTTATATATCTTTATAATACATTATTGAAATATTGATTATGAAATTTTTTTAAAAATCTACAAATTCTAGAACGTAGCGACAGGGGCGGATACAGGGGGGGTGGGGGGACATTCGCCCCCTGAATTTGGAATTTTTTGTTCCTATTTTCAGAATAGCTTCTCAAAAGCATGCTTAAGGGAAAGAAACCAAAGTGCAAAACAGGAAAAATATCTGTCTTAATAAACTATAATGTGGGAAAAGTTAAAAATCTAGGTTATTTAGTCTTTAGTCATGAATTTTGACTCTTTTTGAGTCTTTTAAGTCAACAAAAATTTTCGCCTGCGCCGCGATTTTTTGTTCCTAATTACGAATTTTTTTGTTCCTAAAAAATCTTGCCCCCCCCCCCTCACCTAAATCCTGTATCCGGCGCCGCCCTAACGTTGCGAAATGATTTCAAAAAAGTTGGAACGTGTCCAGCCTAAATTAACTATCACTAAAAATTGAAATGTCAAAATATTACTTAGAGGGACTTTCGACGTAATATCAAGTGACTCTTCATTTAAAAAAAGAGAAGCATGCCCGAGTCACAACAATACCCTTAAAACTTGAAACCTGAATAATAATGTGTCAGATAACAACATCTTTAAGATTGAAAAGTTTCAAATAGCTGATAGTTTCTCCAATGTTGTCTTACAAGAAAAGTCACTTTTGTACTGAAAGTGCAAATGAAAGTAATTAGGTTTTAAACACAAAAACATCTAATTCATATTAGTACTGTTGTGAATCAAATATGTCACTTTATCAATTGACGGTTAACCGAAAAATACCCTCACAGTTTTCTTTTAAATTAGAAGGAAACAAAACATGTAAAGTTCCCAAATAAGATTTATTAATACGCTCCTAAAAGATGAATTAAAACACTTTCAGATTTTAAATAACTAAATTTTGTCAGTTTTCTTTAACCAATAATTTTTATTAAAATAAATTCATTATTTTCATAAGAGGCTAGCTGAAGTGCCCGGCGTTGCCCGTGGAAATTTAAATATAAAATTTTGAATTAAAAAAAATAATTTTTGAAGAATAAAAGTTTGAATGTTTTAGCCTATGTAATTCTTTGGGTACCTATGGGTTCCCTCAAAAAATTTTAGCCAATTTGGTCCAGCCGTTTGGCCAGCTTTAGCTGACATATATATATGAGTGAAGAGCGTTATTATATAGATTAAAAAAACTGGTCCTTAACAAATAATAAAAAATGTATAAAATAATTATCTAACAAGTTTAATGACCATTTCTAATGAGTATATGGATGATATAAGTGTGTTTTAAATATCAATTCTTATTAAATGTTCAATACTTCAGTTAAATTGTAACTTTATATACTGATTGTATTCATGGACTATAATGTGAGAAAAGAATTATTATTATTTTGAAATTAACTCTAAATACTCTGCTGTCTGCTCGAATAATATTATATCGCTGTTTTAAGATTAAAGGTTTTTTTTAGGAAAAATGTATTTTAGAATGTTCAGTTAACTTAAAATTAGTCGGCAAAGTCTTTAAAAATTCTCTTTCTGAATATAAAAAAATGAATATTCAACTGTTATAGTTAAGTATTGCTTAAAAACAAGCGTAAATAACCATGATATGAGCGTATTAATGATATTTAAAATATGATTAATATTTGTGTTAACAGTTTGTATTACCCTTCAAATAAGGTAAGAAGTCAGTTAATATTTATTTAATTTTATAATAATTAGAATTAAATTTAAAAGTTAAACAGTGTGCAGGAAGCTTGAAATTAATGTTTTATTTGAAACATTATAGAAAATATGATAATATAAAATGAACCAAGTGTTTAGTGCAAAATACTCAACAGTTTATAAAATCAAAAGTTAAAATTAAGAATTTGTGAATTCTGGGTCTCTATCTTCAGGCCTGAGAAGATATGAAGAAAAGAGAGGATTTTTTTTCAAGTATTCTCATCAAGCCAATGACACGAGTGACACTCAAGTAACCTTTTTACTTTTCTTATTTACATCAAAGTAAAGGGGGGGGGGGTGCAAGGTACAGTGTATAGTGTAAATAGGGGGTATACAGAGTATACAGTGTACAGTATAAATACAGGTGTACAGTGTAAATAAGGGGCACAGTTACAGTGAACAGCATAAATAGGGGGTACAGTGTACATTGTGTAGTGTAAAAAGGGGGTACAGTTACAGTGAACAGTATAAATAGGGGGGCACAGTGTGCAGTGTATAGTGTACAGTGTATAGTGTACAGTGTATAGTGTAAATATTTATTTATATTGAACAGGTGAATATATTTACTAAGGGTAGAACGACATTGGGTCAGACAGACAAACAGGCAATTTCTTTTTTGAGAGAGAGCACATTATTTAACATTTAAGAGGTCGCAGCGCTCGCCCTCCTGGCCCATCTTAGCTGCAGCGCTTGGCCCAGAAATGTTCTGTACCTAACCTAACCCAAAATATGGTGTGAAACAGTATATCATTTAACATTTGAGAGGTCACAGCGCTTGCCCCCCTAGCCCATCCTATCCGCAGCGTAGGAGATTGGAGAAATTATGTGTAGGACAAATGAAATTTTCACCGCCCTGTCCCTGTAGGGCAAACAATTGTAGGACAAAAAATTATAGGACAAATGACATAGCGCGCTGTTAAACCCCCCTTCTTCGGGTATACAGTTTACAAACTAGGGGTTCAAAAACTGAAAATGAAAATGATTCCTAGCGGTCCTTCTTATTTTTTTAAGCCCTTGCGCCATTCAGAAGCCAAGTTTAATTTGAAAATGTAAAAATATTTTAACATTTTTTATTCTAAACAATTTTCGTTGTTCAGTATTATTCTATTCGGATTGCTGATGCTTGGCGCCGTAATTCTTGGAAATCCAGCTCCAAAGAATTATTTAATTAAAACAGGTAACAGGGGCACAACATGTCATTGTCTCAGGAGGGAATTTACATTTTCTAATTTCGAAAAAAAGGCATTTAATAATCTGAAAAGTGTAAAGAAAATGTACAAAAACTAGCTTTTAAAACCTTCAATACCATTTTCTTTTTAAAAAACATAAAATTTTCGCTCAAAAAGAAGGCATTTTATACAAACACGTAAGAGTTTCGTCTGCTATGTTTACAATTTGTTTGTTTATGTTTTGACTGCATACGGTTGTACTTAGTAAAACAAGAAAATTGCAGTATACAACCAGAGTAAACTTGTCCGTCTTCACTGTTCATCGTGCGGAGACGTTATAGACACATCTTTACAGTCTTTTACCGCTTTCATAAAATAAACTCTAGCAGACATAATAATATTATTGCTTTTGAAATTAGGTATTACAATGCTAATTCATAACAAAGACGATATCGAATTCGTCATTGAATTCCTATGTTTTTTGGGACACCCTGTAGGACAATTCATAGATAGGACATTTCATGGACAGAACATTTCATAGAAGACATTTCATAGGACATTTCATAGATATGATGTTTCATAGATAGGACATTTCATAGAAAAGACATTTCTTAGATAGGACATTTCATAGATAGGATATTTCATAGAAGACATTTCATAGGACATTTCATAGATATGACATTTCATAGATAGGACATTTCATAGGCAGGACATTTCTTGGACAAAACATTTCATAGATATGACATTTCATACAAGACATTTCATAGACAGAACATTTCATATAAGACATTTCATAGATAGGACATTTTTTAGAATACATTTCATAGATATGATTTTCCATAGACAGGATAAATCGATAAATCTTTTTTTCTTCCTTCCAAGTAATCTTATCTAATAAATCATATCCTATTGTTTCTCCGATCTCTCTGATGTATACTTCACATATTTTTCATATTTCTAATTTAAACTGATAACATATTATTTTGTTGATTTCTTGTTTGTTAAACTTGTCGCATTTTCTAAAATTTTTAAAAACCCAAGACCTTGAATTTTCAATGAAAAAAATTGCTTTTGTGTCGTTGAAAATACTTATTTAAAAAATTCTTCTCTGTCTATGAAATTTAAATAAAAGTGATCTGTCCTGCACAGATGGCATTTCAATTGACTCTTCATTTACAGAGTGACATGCATGATGGTACCCTATTAATTTTTATCTGATTAGTGATCCGGGAAATATCGTCGTTTTCACGTTAGAAGTGTCCAATTTTATAGATTGCGCTCTTTGTTTCTACTATATACAAACCCCAAATCATTTTATCTAAAAATGATCAATTTTAAAATAAAAAAACGAAGATATTTGCATCAGTTATACTCAGACTAAGGTGTTAAGGATATATGGAACGTCAGCTAAAATTTTATACTTCTATGCATGGGCACTTTTTTGATAATTTCATCTTGTAGCCTTAAAGTTTAAAGTTTTCTTTATTTCATTAGAAGAGAAAGTTAAATTGTTTTTTTTTGTGAATTTGCTTCTAATATGCTTTAGTGTAAATATTTTCTGGTGTAAGAAGAATAAAAAGTTTTCGATGAAAAAGACATAATTTTCTTAATTAAAAATGTCAAAACAGTTTTAATGTAAAATTTACGATCATATTAATTTCTTATATTGTTATCTTAGTTTGATACTTGTAAAAAATATACCTCTTAATTTAAAGTTAATACTTTAATTAACGATTGATTAATTAATGCCAGATATAATAAACTGTAAATTTTCTATTTAAATAATTAAGTTTTAATCTTTTTAATAACTATGCTTTTAGAGCGCTTCGTACACATCCTCTATTTTATTTTTTAATGTATGTGAGCATCTGCTCTTTGTATATGTATAAAACAATAACAAAAAAAGATTTCCAAATAATTTTTTAATGCATTTTTTAAACTTCACAAAAATCAAAAGCTTTTTGATACAATTGTAATTCTGTGGCATTCATAAACCTTCCATGGGGTCATGCGAGCTCCCACACACAATTTGGGCTCGATCGGTTCAGCCGTTTTGACGTTTATTGGATACAAACGGACAAGCAAACAAACAGACACCCATACAGACAGACAAGCAAAGTATTTATATAGAAGTATTGGTGGATTTCTTTTCATGAGCCAATATTTAGATAATTGTAAATAAACCACAATTTTCGGCTGCAGTATATTTTTTTATATAGAACTGTATAGGTAATTATAAACTAATATTCTTACTGAAATATTTTAGGAATAAATTCAACTGGCTCAGTAAAGAAAAACGAAGGTTAGAGAATATATCATTTCTTAAACTTGAAATAAGGAAATAAAACATTTAGGTTGAAAGAATGATTTTTAACATTCTTGAAATATATAATTTGTGTCCGAATTTAATGAATTTAAGCCGCGTCTCAAATCCCCAAAAAACCTGTTTCAAATGAGCGCCGGCTTGAATCTTTAAAAATTGAATACAATTTTAAGTGGATCCAAAAAAAAGTTTCCGGAAAAAAGTACTAAAATTTCACACTTTTATTAAAAAAGTCTCCGGAAATAAAGTCCTACACCAATTCAAGAATTTACTTTCTAGGATTTTTTTTTCTGGATCCAGTATGATTTTTAACAAAAAAGTCTTCGGAAAAAAGTCCTCTAACAAGTGAAAATGCATGATTCACAATGGAAAAAAGTCCTTTTTTCTACAGTGAAACCCTTAATAAAGAATACATCGAAAGAATTCATCAAATGTCGTATTCTTCACTTTCTGATAATGGAATGTTGCAGATATTAAGTTTTTTAATTAAATGATTATATGGAACTCTTTAAAACTGTTTTCTCATATTCATTGCTATTTATCTATTTTCGCAAATACTGAAATTTACGTAATATAGTATAAAATTCATTGAAAAATTGTCAAGACGACATTTGATAAATCCTTCCGATGTATTCGTTCTTAAGGGTTTCATTGTAGGTTTTTCTTTTCCTCGGATTTATTTTCTTCAGGACTTTTTTCCTTAGATCTTATTTCCAGGGACTTTGAATGGCAGCTCCCATACTATTTTAGGAAAAAAGTCCCAGGAATCTAAAACACAGGACTTTATTTCCAGTGACATTTTTTCCAAGGACTTGAGAAAATTCGGACTTTTTTCCGAAGTTTTTATTTCCAGGTTTTTTTCCCAGAAACTTTTTTCCCGGGACTGTCTTACATAGATTCTTGGTTGACCCAACGCGTTTTACGCAAGAAAACTATTTCTTTAAAAAGCTGCATTAATTTTCAAAAATGAGTCCACTTTAAGGTGTCCAAACCCCCATATATGCCTTTAATTTATCTCACTAATTCGGACTTAAATACTTTTTCAGTTGTAGGCATGTAGATACATTTTAGGCTTATAAAGCACTTTTTTAACTTTAGATATTAAAAGTAGTTTTTTGCGTGAGTGTTTGCAACCTTTGTATCACTGCATGGATATAAATAGCTAATACAAATGTCTTTCACCACTATAATACTAATGCAATATCACCAACTTCAAACATACAATGAAATTAACAGGTACACTTTTTATTTTAGATGATGGTGATGATCCTGTAGTTGGAAATGATTATGCTGTCCACGATATGATAAAGGTATCAATATCATTATTATTATTATTAATATTATTGTTTGCATTATTATTATTGATGTTACTATTATTATTCTTATTATTAATTAGTATTATCTAGAGAACTCAAGTCTCTACTCTGTACTAGCTGTACTTAAAGTAAAAATTACGTGTTTTAGTTTTTCACTTGGAAGTTTTAATTTCAGGAGTTGGTATTTCAAGAGTTTATATTTTAGGAGTTTTAATTTCAGGAGTTTGTATTTTAGGAGTTTGTATTTCAGAAGTTTGTATTTTAGGAGTTTGTATTTCAGGAGTTGATATTTCAGAAGTTTTAATTTCAGGAGTTTGTATTTCAGGAGTTTGTATTTCAGGAGTTTATGTTTCAGGAGTTTGTATTTCAGGAGTTTGTATTTCAGGAGTTTGTATTTCAGGAGTTTGTATTTCAGGAGTTTGTTAAGATTTGTTTTTCTATCTTGAAAATAGATGTTGTCCATTTTCTCCCTCGTCTTAGCTGCAAAAAATCCCGAGCCATTGGAAGAATTTTTTTAATTGAGCATTAAAATTTGATACAAATTTAAAGTTTCACGGACAAATCTTAAGTCTTCTTGTGGTTTCTTAGTTAGTTTAACAAGAATATGTTGCCGGTTGGTTGTAAAAACCTTGAAAAAACTTTATAACGTTTTTTTAGACAATTGTTTAATCGGGGCAAATAAAAATGTATTTTATAAATGTTCATCCCGAATAATTAGAAAGATTCTTTGTTGTTGTTTTATAAACCTGAAGGAGGTCTGAAAGGGGAATTTAACCAAGAAGTGTTAAGAGGTAAATTAAAGATAATTAAGTTTTTCTCTCCCCCCCCCCATACCAGAGTTTTAAAATAAAAGTTGAAATTTTTTATTTTGGATTTTGAAATCTCACTACCGCCAATACCAATCACGCTAAACTAACCAGATAAATGATAGGATCCTATGAAGGCAGACTTGATGGATTTGGTAAATGACGAGGTAAAACATTTTTTTGAGATTTTTCGCACATTATGCAATGATTTAAAGGTATCTGGCATTCGCGCAATATACTTTGGTAAATATTCGACAAATAAAGGTTTCAAATTTGATTTAGTTTTTTCTTTATGATTTTACATAAATCGGTTTAAAATGTCTGATATGAAAAATGGAGAGATTATATTATAAATAAATCTATGAAATCCACAGGAAAGAGAGAAAAATTGAAGTCTCCTAAGAGGTAATTGGGCTCATATATGTAAACGGTTGATATATATATATACCCTCAATTCTAATGATTAAGAAGCGGGCTCTCAAACATTCCAGTGGNTTTGGGTCGTGTACGGCACTTGTAAGTGGAACGGTGGTGAATAAATTATTAATAATGAGTTAAACTCAAAACTATAATAAAAGCTCAGAACAGGAAGCATAAAAGGATCATTGACGTGTACCGGCGTTTACACAAGCCGGTACGCGACGTTTGAAAGTGCTCATTGCCGCAACCTATATGTATACAGGATGCACAGTGAGCGTAAAGTAGGGTGCTATCCGGAGAAAGGTTGTGCTATCTCAATCTTTTTTGCTACACAAATTTTATAGTGTCAAATGTAAACTCGAGCGATAATGAATAATAAAAACCAATTGTTAATTGAATTATTAAATTATTAAAATTCAATAAAAATAATTACTTTTTGAAGAAATACAACTTCATGTTCGGCCTAATCCAAGCAAACCCACTTTGGACTAGGATTAGTAAATCCCTTTTTGGGCCACTCAGGCAGGGCGGTCCGCGTCAATGATCCTTCTTTGCTACATGCAGTTAGCTGTGAATAAAACCAGTTCCAATAAAAACTCAATTAATTTGCAAAATATAAGTATTTGTTTAGGCGGATAGTCTAAGCACAGTAACGAAAACAGAGAAAGTTACAACAGTAAAGAATAAGAAAGTAGGATTTTTGTTTCTTCTTGTTTTTCTAAATGATTAATTATTTGTTAATAATTGAATAATTCTTTTAGGATGCCCTTAATGAAGCAATAAGACTGATGTAAAATGTTTATAAATTTTGTAAGAAAATATACAATCATCTATATTCAGTAAATTCATTTAAATTTTATCTTTTACACAATTTTTTAAAGGAATTGAGTCTTTGCCACAAACTCAGATTTCTAATCCCTTTATCCTTGCAACCTAATGTGGTAGACCTTATATATTTTAAACTATAATTTCTGTTGGATCAAATATGGTAAGTTTTAAATATAAAAAGTTTCAACCCATCAGGTTGCAAAGATATAGGGATTAGAAAATTCGAGTTTGTGGCAAAAGCTCAACTCCTTTAATATGTTATTATAATTATAGGAATAATTACTAGCAAAGCCCAATTCTGACTAGTTGTTAAAAGTTTTTTGGAATTATTTGATGTATTCTTTTCTTCTTCAGGTTTAACAACTTTTCTAAGTTTGCTTCTTAAATCTCTGAAAGCTTTTTCTCCACATTTAGCCTCGGTTGGTGCTTCACTTAGACTATTGTGTGTCACATTTGCTTTAACACCTTTACACAGACTAGATATAGACACAGCACAGGGAAACCAGTTTAGAAATACATTATTCCCACAGACTAGACATAGACACAGCACTTGGAAACCAGTTTAGAAATACATTATTTACACAGACTTGATATAGACACAGCACTTGGAAACCAGTTTAGATATGCATTATTCACACAGACCAGACATAGACACAGCACTTGGAAACCAGATTAGAAATTCATTATTTACACAGACTAGACAGAGACACAGCACTTGGAAACAAGTTTAGAAATACATTATTTACACAGACTAGACATAGACACAGCACTTGGAAACCAGTTTAGAAATACATTAATCCCACAGACCATATAAAGCCACAGCACATATAAACCAGTTTAGAAATACATTATTCACACAGACCATACATAGACACAGTACAATGAAACCAGATTAGAAATACATTTTTCCCACAGACCATATATAGTTTTAAAAACCAGTTAAAAAAAATACGTTATTCATTTAGACTTGACATAGACACAGTACATGGAAACCAGTTTAGAAATACATTATTCACACAGACCATATCTATTTCTAATGCAAGCAATTATAAATTAATCTTTACCACCTACTATGTTTTGTGAGACAAAATTCTAATTTAAAATTTACTGGGACAATCCTAACTGTATGAGTTGACTAATATGGACTGAAAAAGCTGTGTTCTGTGTTTATAACTGGGTGTGTGTACCTATGATAACATTGTTTGGACCAACTGCTGTTGAATAGTCTCCACAGATCATGTTCCAAACTCCTAGCCAAGTGGTTATACATAGTTTCAACTATTTAGAACATTACTAATTTGGTTCGCAGTGCTGAAGCCCGGGCAGGAAGGGGGTGTAGGGACTCCATGAGCCGCGTGAAATGGTCTCCAAGCCTCTGAATATTTAAAATGACCTGGCATTACCCCTATCCTTTAGAATATACATTATAGAAGTTATGTATAAAAAAAATTAAAAATATATGTTATCCAATGTTTTTTGAATATTCAAAAAACACTGCAAAACTATTTAAAGATTAAAGATCCTCTTTCAAAAATGTTATTTATTACTTCTATAATATCTATAATAATGTTTTGAGGTAGCGCAATGGTCAATTTGAATACTAATCTGCGAATACAAAGGCTTGGAGACCATTTTGCGGGGCTTATGGCGGCCTTGCACCCCCTTCCTCGCTCGGGAAAATTATATTCTAAAAAGGGGAGAACCTTCAAGATACGGAGAAAGCTTATGTCCAAAAACTTTATGTTTATACTGTGCCTAAATGAGAGTGTGATAAATGATTTTATGAAATGTTGCAATCTTATTTCATTTAAATTGCAAAAATGATTTTAGAAATATTCTACGATTTTTGGAAAAACTTTTGGTAACTTTACAGAACGTCTATAATGAAATTTACCTTGAAATGAACATAAATGATAAAGTAGACAACAATTTCATCGAATAGTTATGCCTGATCAAGTCGATCTTTTCGATTACTTAAATTTCATATTTAAAATTAAAAATGGGTTCACAATCGAGGTTGCGTGATTTTGTAAAAAAAATATATTAAATTCGTGCAGAAGTGAATATTTTGTTAGAGGTGGGGGTCGAGGGGGGATAATCCTTTTACTTGGATCAAAAAAATATAATTTATGTATAAAACCCCTGTAACAGTCTGAAACAAAAGTTTAATTGGTATTTACGATTCCAAGGTCTGCACTAACTATCCTTGCCTTTGACTATGCTGAACTGTCCAGCTAAAGAGTTTGAATTTCCAACAACTGAAAGAGCTTTCCCCATTAGTTTGTTGAAGCTACCAACAACAACTGCTTGGTTACCAGTTATCCTATTGTTGTTGCCGTTGATACTATTAATGTTTCCAGTAATTGAGTTGTTTGACCCCTCCACAGTCAAGTTGTTTCCAATTATTTCAGAATAGTTTCCTAAAAAGTTTAAACAAAACATTTTCTTATTAATCTCTTTGTAGGTGTAACTTTAAAAGGGACTTCGGCATGCTTGTAAGTGAGCCGCCATTAAAAAAAAAAAATAACAGTTATAAATGTCGTCTTCCCACTGTGTTAGATAATTAAGGCTTTTTCCAGTTTATTTCGTCAGAAAACTCTTTTCTTTAAATATATTTTACTTTGAAATCAATTTCATTATAACATGACTCCCATAAAATATTTTTACTTTTTTCTTTGGTATCGAACAACTTAACAAATTAAGGAAGAAGACATTATAAACTATTCAGAATCTGTCATGTTTCGTGGGGACACCATTTACCTATTTTTAAAGCCTTACAATTTATTAACAAACTTTCTGTTAAAACCTTAAATAAATTCCGTTATTTAAGTTTTTAAAAAGAGTTTTTGTCAATATGTGTTGTTCTTTATGTGTTGTTCTTTATTACTTGATGTCAAGATTTAATTGTGAAAATTCGATCTAAGTTTTGTTATCATGTCGTAAACAAATTTCATTTATTAAAAAAAAATTCATGAGCTAAAAATTATTATGAAAGTGCACTTTACTCTACACTATATAGAATATAAACTCCTCAAAAATTACAAATTTACCACAAACAAGTTCATTGTTGCTAATTTACCACAAACAAGTTCATTGTTGCTAATTTACCACATACATGTTCATTTTTTGCTTATTTACCACAAACAAGTTCATTGTTGCTGATTTACCACAAACAAGTTCATTGTTGCTAATTTACCACAAACAAGTTCATTGTTGCTAATTTACCACAAACAAGTTCATTGTTGCAAATTTACCACAAACAAGTTTATTGTTGGCGACAAATTTTTCAGCAAAAACGTTCACTGCCTCTTTAGAATCACAGACAGATCCTAAAATAATTTGTTTTGTTATATTTTTTTTAGAAATATTTGTATTTCTTTTTATCTGAACCATAGTTAAAGAGATTGCGCGATTCACAATGGTACCCTTAAAAGTATATATTAGATGTTCATGTTTAAAAGTTATATTGGTATAATCGCATAGCACCGTATAAAAGAGGTATCATGCATGTTTAAGTTTATTAAAACAGAGGCCGAATTTAAAGAATTTGAGCGGCGGGTTAAATTTAAGCCGCGGCTCAAATATAGTTGGTTTCACTTAAAATTGTATTCAAAGTTTCAGGATTTAAGCCGGTGCTTAATTGAAACCGGTTTTTGGCGGATTTCAGACGCGGCTCAAATTCATTAAATTCGGACACTGATTATTTTTATTTGTAACTTCTCTAGAAAAGTGCCTTGCTTATTTCTTGTGTTTTTTCTTCCATACACTATCCATCTGATTCGGGGGTGTCACTTTTTTAAATGAATGGTCACTTAAAATTTAACTTAAGTTAAAATGTCGTTAAAATTTAAATTAATTTAAATTTTTAACGACATTTACATTAATGAGAGATTACAAAGAATGAATACTCTATATAAATACGGGGGTAGTTAAACAAAAGTGTTTTATTGGTAATCCCATTTTTGACAAATATGTTTAAAATGTTAGATTTTTATAGACAATCTGATAGAACCTTTAAAAAAATCCGCAAAACTATTTTCTACGCAAAATTAGATAAGTAGAAAACAAAAGTGCTGAAATATCATAATTTTATCACATCTCAAAATATTTAACAGATGAGATACTAGATAGGTAAGTTTCGATGCGCGAAATTTATTCAGAAACAAAATTTAGTATGAAAAAAATCATTTTGATGATTTTTATTCATACTGAATTCTTTATATAGCATGCATTTTTGAGATAGGTAAAAATATCAATAGCAGGAAAATGTAAAAATATGCATAAAACAAGGTATTATGAAAATATTTAAGTTGATATCTTTATATATTACCCCTAGATAAATTAGAATAGATAGCTCATGTCGTCTTCACCATACCGGAGGGTTACAGTTGAAATTGAAAATGGCAATTTAGCTATGGTATTAGCCAAAGACTTTGCTAATTCCAACATCTCGTCTTTATAATTAGCAAAGTCTTTGGTAAATCCATGATATCACCTGATATAATAAGCCGGGGTAAAGCAGCTAATAAAAACAGAAGTATCAAGTCAAATTCCATTGTCTAACACTACTACACTATCTATACAAACTCAATACCAGGGTTTACTCAAATACAGGGTGAACGTCAAAAAATTCAATAATAATATTTTTAAGGTAGGGTAGTCTACAGTCTACAGTCTACAGCCTCCAGTCTCCAGTCTCCAGTCTACAGTCTACAGTCTACAGTCTACAGTCTACGGTCTACAGTCTACAGTCTACAGTCTACAGTCTACAGTCTCCAGTCTACAGTCTACAGTCTACAGTCTACAGTCTACAGTCTACATTCTACGGTCTTCATTCTCCAATCTTTATTCTCCAGTTTCCAGTCTCCAATAAACATTATCCAGTCTCCATGTCTCCAGTCTCCAGTCTCCAGTCTCCAGTCTCCAGTCTACAGTCTACAGTCTACAGTCTACAGTCTACGGTCTACATTCTCCAATCTTTATTCTCCAATCTCCAGTCTCTAGTCTCTAGTCTCCAATCTACATTCTCCAGTCTCCATGTCTCCAGTCTACAGTCTACAGTCTACAGTCTACAATTGTGAATATTACAGGGAGATAAACTAAACATGGGAAATACTACAGGGAGATAAACTAAACATGGGGAATATTACATGGAGAAAAACTAAACATGAGGAATATTACAGGGAGATAAATTAAAAATGGGGAATACAGAGAAGAGTAAATCATAGCATATTCGCGCCTTTAAAACTGCCATATTATGACCCTTAAAAATTACAGGCACGAATATCTTATTCTTTAGGTAGCATCAAAACTATAATAACATGGAACAATAATAAAAGTTATATTTCGTATCTTTGGGATACATTGTATGTCAAGAACAACTGCTGCGTTGGTAAAAGACAACTTCCTTATACTCAATTCCCCTGTTACATGGGGATCTCTGAACTATTTAAAGCATAATGAAACCTGAATCTAAAAATCATGTGATCTGTCTTTCTATTAAATTCAGTCAGTTGACATGTGTGTGTATAGATATGTATGTTCTAGTTTAGTTACAACTTTGACCTCGAAACAATTAAATTTTTTTCGGGAAAAAAAGAATTTTAATAGTTTTACATTCTTTATTCACTTTCGATTAGGGTAATTATTTTTTTCATGGAAGCTTAGAAAAAAAGAAAATAGTGCAAAAAGAAGGGGTTTCTCTATGCTTTTCTTTCCTCTCCCTTTTGCCAGAAAAAAGGAAAATATAGAGACGGGAACTCAGTAAACCTTGGATTGAGATGGGAACTTTGTAAACCTTGGATATAGACAGTTACTCTGTAAACCCTGGATAGAGACAGGAACTCTGTAAACCCTGGATAGAGAACTCTGTAAATCTTGGATAGAGCCGGGAACTCTGTAAATCCTGGACAGAGATGGGAACTCAGTAAAACCCTGGATAGAGACGGAACTCTGTAAACCCTGGATAGAGACTGGAACTCTGTAAACCCTGGATAGAGACGGAACTCTGTAAACCTTGGATAGAGACAGGAACTCTGTTAACCCTGGATAGAGATGGGAACTTTGTAAACCCTGGATAGAGATAGGAACTCTGTAAACCCTGGATAGAGACAGGAACTTTGTAAACCTTGCATTAGAATACTGATGGGTGTGCAAGAACCAACATTCTTTTGTCGAAAATATCCACTCCTTTCCTAACCTTTCTTATCCCATTTGTCATTATTAAGGCGGAATTCTTACAATAGATATCCTCAGAATTTTCAAACCCGCAGTGAATTTTTTTCTCCAACCTGTAAGAATATTGAGCAATGAATTTATGTTTGAACCTGAACCTTCAATCAGTTGAGTCAGACATTGGTGGCAAATCTAAAAACTGCAGATCAGTTAAAAAGAAGATACAAGTCAGAGGAAAAATTCACTGCTCTTTTAAAAATGTTGTTAAAAAATTTTAATCTAAAAATAAATGGTAAAAAAAGACTGCATGGAAACAATATTGTAATGAATATTTTATTTCAAATATTATTCAGACTCAAGCTATATTATCCTTAATAATAAATAGCTCAAATTTTCAAAATAAGCTGCAGCTATCATTTTGAAAATAGTTTCCCTTCCTGAGATTATACTGGAAACCTTTATAATACTCAACTTTATGCTGAAAGATCACTGCAAGTTTAAACTTTGTTTTGAAAGAAGAAACTGAAAGGTTTCAAAAGATTCTGGAGATCACTGTAAGACTTCAATTTTAAGAAATAAAATGAGCAGTGTTGGACAACTTGAGCATCATCTTCCTTCTCAGGAATCCAGGTACAGTACAGAACAGTACAGTAAAGTACAGTACAGTACAGTAAAGTACAGTACAGTACAGTAAAGTAAAGTACAGTACAGTAAAGTACAGTACAGTACAGTAAAGTAAAGTACAGTACAGTAAAGCACAGTACAGTACAGTACACTACAGAACACTATAGTACAGTACAGTGAAGTACAGTACAGTACAGTACAGTACAGTACAGTACAGTACAGTACAGTACAGTACAGTACAGTACAGTACAGCACAATACAGCTCAGTACATTACAGTACGGTACAGTACAGTACTGTTCAGTACAGTAAGTTTAAAGTAATGTAAAGTTAAGTAATCTCTTGTTACAAAAGTTTTGGTCCAGTTTCAAACTAAAAACTTTTTGAAATATCAATTATTCAAATTTAGTCCTACTTAGTCCTAATGTCTCTATAACCTGCTTTAAAAGATGAATATCATGTAGATGAAATGAAATGGAAATAATATAAAATCAAAATTTATAGCACAGGGGTTTTGTGATATTTTTAAAGTTTATAAGTTTAAAAGTAGCTTGATCCGAACCAGTACAAGAATGTCAGTCTACAGTGCTCCAAACGTGTTTTGCTCCTCAATTGGTAATCAGAGATAAAAAAGTTAACATTAGACCGTGTATTTCTTAGATATAAGACCATATTGACCACTGCTCCTCAGTTTCGAAAATAAATCTATAAGTATGCTCATGAAGCGTCAGAAAAAAATTACGAATGTTAGATACAATTCCCTGATTTAAGGACTGCATTTTATGTTCGGAGTTTTAAGATACTAAAAGGTCGGGTAATTAATAACTTAATTACAAAATCCTTTTTTTTGAGGGGGGGGGGGGTAAGTGAAGATTAGAAGGTATACAAGATTTCGAGGATTTGAAGGATTTTGAGAAAATCGAGGATTTGGAGGATTTCGTGGATTTGAAGTATAATGGAGGAGTGATTTCCTGAAATCTGAATTGACCTGTACTTTACAGTCTACAGTTCAATGAGTACGTTAATTTATAATTGGCTGTAAGTGTACTTTAATTTTGAATTGTTTTATTGTGTACACTGTACACTTTACACTTCAGTTTACTTTAAAAGCTATAAGAGGGTGAAGTTAGAAATTAGTAAATAACCTACAATCAATGAATTATATATCCTACAATATCCTACAATATCCTACAGTATCCTACAGTCAAAACATAATATATCCAGCAATATACTATAATATCCTACAATCAATACATAAGATATCCTGTAATATCCCACAATCATACATAAAATATCCTACAATATTCTACAATCATACATAAAATATCTAACAATATCTTACAATATCCTACAATCTATACATAATAGATCCTGTAATATCCCACAATCGTACATAAAATATCCTACAATATTCTACGATCATACATAAAATATCCTACAATATCCCACAATCATACATAAAATATCCTACAATATCCTACAATATCCTACAACATCCTACAATATCCTACAATCATTTCAAAATAATATCTTCATTCATCCATGATTGATTTTGTTATTAAACTATTTCTTCCTAATGTATACCAATAATAAATTTCTTTTTACGTCATTTATGACACGATTTGTGATTTTTTTAATATTCACATTTTGAATAAAGGTTATTAATGTAATAAATCTAGGTCCCAAGATTACTTGACTCTTAGACTAGTTTCAGTCTCACTAACTCTATCTCTGGCCAAAACTCAAGGCTCTATATCTCTAGCCAAAACTCAAGGCTCTATGCACGTCCGTTTAAAACAATGATTCATACATCACTAATTTATTAATACAGGTAAATAGAACTGACCGGAATGGCCGGTCCGGGTCAATATGAACATAGATAAAATAGATAATACAGATTGTATTGATCATGGTAGCAAATTTTATTACATTAATATCATAGATAGATTTCTTACAAATTTAATTACACTAAACATATTTTACAACCCTCCTTCAGTGACCCTCCATGTAATATCCGATATCCTTGTAATCTACATCTTATCACTAAAGTAGAAGATATTGTCGTTGTTTTAAGTTTAGAATTGATAATTTCTGTTTGTTTTCTTGCCCAAACAATGCACAATTGTCAGTTTTGTAGAAAACTTTAATTGAAAATTAACCAGTTTTCAAAGTTTAAGTTTATTTTAAGTCATACTTTTAAGGGTACAGTCGTGAATTGGACATTGTCACATTTGAATGGAGGGCCATTTGAAATTACGCCTACAGTCCCTTTAATCATAAAGTTTTTTTTTATAAACTAAACACACACAAGTAACAGATTTACTCTATAAACTAAATTAATAGTTTAACTTTTTCCTTGCCAAGTACTACTGACTTCTGAGCCGGAACATTTGAAAGAGCATCGTTGAACGAAACTACCGAGTTTCTTTTTTGCACTTTAAAAAACGCTATCCATTTTACGGAAAAACTACAGTTCTCTATATTGCACATTCTTTGCGATATAAATATAGATACTATTGATGCATCACAAAACGTGTTCGTTGAAGGAAACAACATTCATTATAAAGAAAGCAGCTATTATTATACCGCACAAAGTGTGCAATATATCTAACAGACTAACTGTATTTTTTTCTTTGAATGTTATAGATATGTCTATCGGAACAATAGCGTTTTTTTTGCAGTGGGGGGGGGGTTCAGTTACTTTGTCTAGATTTATTTTTAAAAAGATAGAAAATAAAGAAGAAAAATAATACTAACCACATGTACGATATTTCTATAAAAATAATACTAACCACATGTACAATATTTCTATAAAAATAATACTAACCATATGTACAATATTTCTATAAAAATAATACTAACCACATGTACAATATTTCTATAAAAATAATACTAATAATATGTACAATATTTCTATAAAAATAATACTAACCACATGTACAATATTTCTAAAAAATAATACTAACCACATGTACAATATTTCTATAATATAATACTAACCACATGTACAATATTTCTATAAAATAATACTAACCACATGTACAATATTTCTATAAAAAAAAATACTAACCACATGTACAATATTTCTATAAAAATAATACTAATAATATGTACAATATTGCTATAAAAATATATTAAAATTTACAAGATTGCTGAACCCTATTTGTGAAACCCGGTCTCCCAAGTGTTTGTATAAAATGCCTTCTTTTTGAGCGAAAATTTTATGTTTTTTTTTTAAAAAGAAAATGGTATTGAAGGTTTAAAAGCTAGTTTTTGTACATTTTCTTTTAAATGCCTTTTTTTCGAAATCAGAAAATGTAAATACTTTCAAACTAGAGGTTTTTGCAGTAGTGAGATTTGAAATTCCAAAATGAGAATATATAATTTCAACTTTTATTTTCAAACTCTGGTATTGGCGGTAGTGAGATTTCAAAATCNGTTGAAGTTGATGATAACTTGATGTAAAGTCAACATGGCATGATTGTGAATAAATGTTAAAGTTTCAGAGATTAAAGATTTTGTCTGAATCTCGGGATCTAAAAACATATTTCCATCCTTGGAAGAATCCAATTTTGCTATAATTCTATAGATGCAAGTTTTTTAGTGCTTATTTTACAGAATTAATGTCAATTTAAATAAAAAATGTCGATTTTCAAAATTTAGATTAAAAACGTGTCGATTTTCAAAATTAAAATCAAAAACGTATCGATTTTCAAAATTTGGGAGCAAATCCGATTTAAATGTTTTTCCAATTTCTGATGTTCTTAGAAATGTCTCAGATTTGTGGGAGATTAACTTGCGAGATAAGGAGTCTTTGTTATAAGTGAAGAGAGACCGAGCTAAACGTCGTGAATAGTATACATAGACCTATACAGGGGGGGGGCTATGGGGCTCACCCACCCCCCCTCCGGGAGGAGCGAAATCTATGGTTTCCAGGGGGTTTCAGGTCCGAGAATTCCTGTAAATGCCCCTGATGGCATACGTATTTTTTTTGTCCTGGCACCTGGCGTGTACAAATTGTACAGGCTGTACGTACACCGTACAATGTAATGGATTGGTACACTGACCCCTTTGTTTCAAATTTAAAGGCCCGTAAACACATGTTTATTAATAGAAATTGAAATAATGAAAAGGTATAGCTCTGACACCCATCTTCATCATAATAGGTAAAAATATTATTCAAATCATAGATCTGGAAAAGGAGTTATCGGAGATATCAGATACTGGGTGTCCAACGAAGCATGACAGTTGGTAAATAGTTTGGAATGTCTTCTTTTATATACTGTATTAGTTATTTAAGACGTTTTGGCAATTTTAATCTTGTTAAAAAATCTTTTACTCAAATTTACTTTGCTTTGAAATCAATTTTATTATGTGACTGCTATATATTAATTTTTAGTATTGGTATCAAACAACTGAACAAATGATGTAAGAAGACAGTTTAAATTATTTACCAATTGTCATGTTTCGTAGAACACCCTGTATTTTAATTCTGTCGTCTTCAATTGAGGAATTGAATTTCATCTAGATTTTTCGGTGGATATAATCTGAAATTTTAACCTCTAGCTCTCATTATTACAGTGTATTCTTTTTTAAATCCCTTTAATTCAGGCCAGAGCACCATGGCCGCCGAAAAAGGACCGTCTCTACTACGGAGCATATTTTGGAGGAGGTTGAACGATTTGGCCGCCGAACTATTTCTACATCAGATCTTAGAAAAAGGTGAAATATGAATATTTCTTTTATGAAAGTTGTATAATTTCCATTTACACTTTACGCCTCTTTTTATAAAAACGATTCATTTAGAATACTTTTCTAAAATTTGAAATTTTTAGATACAAACAAATGGACTAGTTACATACATATACGTATAGAATATTATTTAATCGTTTTCGTATAGTGGTATGCGATTATATCAATACAATTAAGACTACTTTCGATTTCAATTTTGATTTACATCAATCTGTCAAAAAGCATAGATACACAAAGAGATAGATATAGATTTTCTTTGCAAAATTATTATGCTCTAAGACATCAATTTTATTGAAATTACTGTAAAGATATTTATATTTTCAATGATAACAAGAAAAAATTTACAAAAACTTCTTATCTTATTTTGCATTTAAAAACACCGGTTTCTTTTAATCTAAAATTCACTTTTAAGACCAATTTCCTCTTTAAGATAACTGTTGATTATAAATGTTAGAATTTTATCCAAATAAATGAAATATATTTTCGGAGAAGATATCAATTTTCGTTAAAAAAATATCTTTTCATGTTAAATGCATCTAAATTGATTGCCCACTTTTCAAGATCTCTCAACGCATGACAAATAAGTTTAAGAATATTATCCACGCCAATTCATGAAATGGCCCTATTTTTGTTTCCATAATATTTTGTATAAGGTTAATGAGTTCAGGACCCAGCGAAACATCACATTTACTATCAGAGGACGAATACACAGAGGTCAGTTCTCGGTTCGGATCTTATGAATGAGATAAGTAGTCGAACTAAGCATTGCTGGTTCAACTTCTTTTCCGCCAAGATGCATGTTTACCCACCTAAACTTGAACCGCCTGAATTTTATTATTGAAGGGACGAATGTTTTCAAATGTAGATACGATATGATACGATATATTTACGATATGATACGATATGATACGATATGATACGATATATTTTCGTTTATACAATATGTACGATACGATTAGAACACTTGTCAATCTACATCCAGTCAATTTACATTTTTGTCAACTTTATATATTGTCAATTTACTTATTGATCTTAACTAAAAATTCCATCTTCTATCTTTGATGCCCAAATAAAAAATTGGACGAAAAATATGTTTCGCTTGTTTTTTTTGTTTGTTTTTTTAAATGTCTGCGTTACTGGGCGAAGCAAGCGGAATTTATTCAAGTGTAGCCGAAATGATGATATCTAGTCCTAATAGGTTTACAATTGCTGTTAAATCATGAATATAAGGTAAAATACAGTTTGAATTCCTTACAGTCTTTGAAATCTTGTCCTTTGTGGGTAACCCTGTATGTTCAAAATCCATATCGTTCATTTTTTCAATCGTTAAAAAAATGATTTTGTTCGTTCTCAAAATGGCCGTTCATTTTCCATCATCTATTTCGTTTGTTTTATCACTGAACAATCTTTCAGTATAATTGATCGTTCTTTCGGTAAAATCATGATCGTTTTTTCTAAATTTTGTATGAAAAGTCGTTCGTTCAGTAAAAAAAAAGATAGTTTTTCCAAATCTTTTCGAAAATTTGTTTGTTAAGTAAAAAAAACCGATCGTTTTTAATTTCCTTCGATGTTAGGAATTAAAAATCAAGTTCGTTTGAACGTTTTTATCAGAGAATGGGCCGTCCTTACACGACACAGTGTAGAATGTAACCATACTGTTATAGCGCCCTCCTTTAGTTTTGATATTATTATTTTAAGACCTCTATTCGCATGACGGACCTTTAAAATTTTACTTTCAAATTCATAAAAATTTTATTTTCTGTAGATTTTAGAAGGAGAGGAGGAGGAGGAGGAGTTGTTAGGACACACTATCTCGTAAGTTCATATAATTCAACTCTCCGCTCATATATATATTATTTGTATATTTATATATTATATACTTATATATTTATATATTATATACTTATATATTTATATATTAGTATATATATATAAATATGTTACCTGACTAAAGCTGGCCAAACGGCTGGACCAAATTGGCTGAATTTTTGTAAAGAATCTTTTCTTTACAAAATGAAAAAAAATGTCCACGGTCAACGCTGGGTACATCAGCTAAAACAAAGTAAAACTAGTTCTAATAATGATTCATTACTGTATCACACTATTATTTTGCTAGATGGCTTTGGCATATTTTTATCTGAACAACCCAACATTTTATGCTGTTCTTAAAAAGAAAAAAGGATGAAAAGAAATTTCAAGGGGAGCTCCCTCTTGTCTACAAAATGTTAACCCTGTATACGCCTCAATAGTCTTGATAATTGATACCCTTTCGTTTGGTCAAATATTTTACAACATTTTCATTTTTGTTTTATAAAGTTTGTATTTTTAGGAACACGGAAACTATTATTCATCTTCTGAAAGGAAACATTGGTAAAACTATTCTTTTTACTTTAGCATTTTTATTCTTCTATTCAATCAAGAAAACTTCAGAGAGTTCCGTTTTTTCTTTTCCATTTGTGTGAAGGGGTATATCCCCCCCCCTGGCTAAAGTTTCCCTAGTTTGCCATTTTCTCTCTCTCACCCTGTATCTCTGAATACTGTTAGAAGCGCCTATCAAGACCCAGTGTTACTTCTCTGAAAGCTGAATGTATACTGAAATTTTTAAATTTAATTTTAATTAATTTTTTTAGGAATTGGCGTTTTAACAATGCCTATAGCAATGAGCAATGCAGGTCTATTGGGAGGAGTTCTAGGAAAACCATTATTTTTCAAACAAAAAATGCCTTTACATTTTCATTATTATTCAATAAATACTTAAAAACCATAGGATTTGTCATGAGCTTTAGTTTAGATGAATGTTTTATGATTTCTAAAATATTGGTAAAAATTCAGATTCAGTTTCTTAAAAAAACATAACTTTCAAAAAATTGAAAAATATCTAACTTGTCAAAATATTAAAAAATATCAGAATATTGTCTAAATATTAAAAATTTCTAAATTGTCTAAACATTTGAATTGTCTAAAAATTGAAAAATATGTAAATTGTCCAAATACTGAAAAATATTTAAGTTGTCTAAATATTGAAAAATATCTAAACTGTCTAAATATTGAAAATTTGCAAATTGTCTAAATATTGAAAATATCTAAATTGTCTAAATATTGAAAAATATCTAAATTGTCCAAATACTGAAAAATATCTAAATTGTCTAAATATTGAAAAATAATGTTTACAAACTAGGAATGGTTCTGGTTGCTCTGATAACTATTCACTGTATGCACACTCTAGTTATTTCCTCACATAAAATGGTGGATAAAAAGTATTTTTTATAAATAAACTTTTTTTTATTTATCTTGTTGAAATTGGAGAACAGTGATTTATATTAAATGAAATGAAAGAAGTAAAGAATAAAATAATACTTATTGTTTGACATTTTAATAGTATTAATAATATAATTTGAAAAGGGACGGAGTGCGATTTCTAGACTATGCTGATACTGCTGAGGTGAGTTGTCCCTTTATTTTACCTGGAATTTTGTTGCGCCAAGCACACTGCTTGAACTTACAAATAATTTTCAATTTTTAGTGCAAAGAAATTGAGTCTTTTACTAATCCCTATTTTTTTGCAACCTGATTTAGTGTTAACCTTTATATTTCAATTCAAACTTAGTTTATTTGATATAACAGAATTAATAGTTTCAAATATCTAACGTCAAAGATATAAGGATAAAAAATCAGAATTTGTGGCAAAGACTTAATTCCCTGGATCCGCAAGTATTTTCCGGCGTAACGATTTGATTAATTTGATTTCCCTAAAATATGGTATACAAATAAAGGACACTTTTCAAAAAAAGATTAAAAGATATAGTCAAACATAAAGGATGTCAAAAATCAGCGCGAATTAAAAAGATGCTTAAAAATGCCCATTTTTAGCCTTTACATTTTTCACAGCCCATAAAACCTATCTTATTTTTTTTAAACATTACAAATAAATCTTTATCAGTTAAAAAACACTCAAAAATTAGCTTCGACACTTTTCAGCCTCAAAAACCTAATTGTCCAAATATTACATGCAGAATATTTTTAGTAATTTTTATCTTTCTAATATTCTATTGAAGTGATATTCAATGCTAAACTTTTGCTCTTAATTCTGAGAAGAAATAGCTAATTCTATCAGATTGACACGAAATTGTAGAGCCAAATTATATCACTGTCGTCCCCATGTATTGTTTATAATTCAGAATTACATTCTCAACCATTTTAGATATCCTTGATATTATTTTTTATTTTTATTTGATCGATTTCTAAAAAATGACAATTTATATGACAGGCTGCGTTCAATGATGCTGGGGGTTGGTGGGCTAAATCCGCCAAATTTTTCGGTCGTCTAATAAACCTGTTCCTCTGTATGTCTCAGATAGGCAGCAACGCTGTTTATATTCTTTTCGTGGCACAGAATATTCTTCCGGTAAGTTTTTAGAAAACTTAAATATTTTCATAAATATTTTTAATTTTCTGAAAAGGACTCAAGGTAGTCGGAGTTTCAAGTGGTATGTCCGATCTACAGCTTGGTACCCTCCAAAACTTTGTCTTATTACGAATGCATAGTCTTTTCCATTCTTCTTTCTTTGAAAATTAATTATTTTAAATTTTGGTTTCTCTCTGAATTATCTTGGTTATTGATAAGATAAAAGTTTTAAGGGTACCGGTGTAAATCGGACATGTCCCTCTTTTTTTTACAGTAGAAGGTCACTTGAAATTTCAGACTCTTTTAATTCAATTCTTGCTTAGATTGTTGAGACCTATTTAAGTCCTGGGTGGAATTATCGAATCTATATTGCAATACTTCTAATACCAGTTATTCTGACTTGCTGTGTCAGGTAGAAATAAGTAAATTTCGAGCCCGCGGTCTTAATTCCTTAAACCCAGTTATAGGCTGAATCTTGTGAATCAGCTGACGATAGCTTGTATCACGTATTCGACAGCTGCCAGCTTATGGTTATAGGCACATTTATGGAGTTAGACCTTGCGAGCCTGATTCTAATCAAATCCCTCAAATCCGCAAATTCCAGGCATGAAGATAAGTTGCAACCTAAATCCGAAAGTTCAAGTCCCAAATTAGTCTCGTTGACAGCTTATACCTGAGTCTTATTTTTCCAAATTGTTTAAACCGCGGGCTCTGCCAAAATAATTTGTATGAAAATTCAAATAAAACATCAAATTAACCATCTGGGGGGAAAAAACAAGTTTTAAAAAGATATTTTCCACAAAATTTTTATACTTTTATTATTGTTTGATGTGAGGACCACGAAATAGTTACAATAGTGGTTGATACCTAGCAAGCAAAATATCTTTCTTTAATTAGTCAAAACTTATGATTATTAGACCAAAAACAGACCTGAGCTTAAAACTTTAGAATAAGATATCCTTAAACTTAATATCTAAAGTTTTCAGCTCTGATTAAATTAGCTTCAAAATAAAATATGAATTTAAAGCTAAGTTTGTTTTAATTAAGCATAATTACAGAATTTAATATTTTGCTTCTGATGAATGAAGAGTTTGTATATTTGTAGGAATTTGAAATATTTGTCTCCGCTATCCGTTGTAGCAAATATACTGGAATTTGTGGGTTTAGGTAATATATATATATATATATTTTAAATATTTAAATACGGAGTGTTCCAATGAAAAACTTCTATATCGTCTTTATCACGTCAACACAATTTTAGTAGTATTCAAATTAAAACAGTTTATAAAGAAAATGAAGAGGTTTGGGAATTCCAAAATATAGTCTACCATTTTTGCTTTTCAAATTGAGAAATCTGTCCCAAGTCCAAGTAAAAACAACAAAATTGTTCAAACATTTAATATTTTCGTCAATTTCAAAGATAGGTACACCACATTTGAATTAACCTATATATGTATAAGATATAAAAACTTTTTTATATACTTATTAACCTATGTCCATTATTGGAAACCGAATTCGAAGACGATTTTTATGTCATCTTTAAATTTCAATGTTAATTGGGACACCCTGTACGTATTTGGATATACGGTAATTATTTGAAATTAGCATTAAAGTGGGTGTTTTCTTTTTTAGAGGATTTATAAAGGGGGTGTTTTCTTTTTTAGAGGATTTATAAAGGATTGATTACAAAGAAATTAAAAATATGTTGAAGCCGTTTTTCCGTACATCACAACAATGAAATAATATTATATTGAAATAAATGCTGTGTACAGTGCACCACACAATACCCTACCATCATAGTCCCCAATAGGGGGGGGGGGAGGCGCACCACCCCCGTAAATTAAGTAATTGTAAATTTACCATATAAAAATGTTAGAAATGGTGAAAATTACAGGTTTCTCTAAAAAAAAGTCTAAAATAACCCTATAATAGGGAATTTCGGTGCGTTTTAAATTTCAAACCTAACACAAGAACCACCCTCCCCTCCCTCTAGCATACGACAATTGCGCCACAACCTTAATTATCTTAACATTTAGGTATAATATTCTACTTTATATTTGCTACTCCATTACCCAGCTCGGACACTAGACCTTGGTTCTCTAGGTAGGAGTAAAACCTTGGTTCTTTAGGTAGGTTTATAATCTTGGTTCTCTAAGTAGGTTTAGAATCTTGGTTCTCTAGGTAGGTTTAGAACCTTGGTTCTCTAGGTAGGCTTAGAACCTTGATTTTCTAGGTAGTTTTAGAACGTTTATTCTCTAGGTAGGTTTAGAACCTTGGTTCTCATGGTAGGATTAGAACCTTGTTTCTCAAGGTAGAATTAACTTCATGGTTCTCATGGTAAGATTAGAAGCTTGGTTCTTGAGGTAGGATTATAACCTTGGTTCTCAAAGTAGGAATAGAATCTAGGTTCTCAAGTTAGGTTTATAGAATCCATGAAACATTTTCTTAAATCAGTCAACACGGCTACAAGACAATTTAAACATCCGAATATTTAAAAAGTTTTGTAAACATTTATAGGTGTTTCTTGTCGGTCGAATTTTTCCCTTTACATGTGACACTGCACTTCTTAACAATGTACTTTTGTTTCAGTGCGGCAAATTTCCCTTTACATGTGACACTGCACTTCTTAACAATGTACTTTTGTTTCAGTGCGGCAAATTTCCCAATTTTCTTCGGAACTGCAATTTTTGCATTCGAAGGAATAAGTGTGGTTTTACCAATAGAAAATCAGATGACGACAAAAAAGGTAAAATATTTTGCAATCCTTGAACAATCCTTTGGAATTTTTTTGCACTCCTTTTGCAATTCATTTGCAATCCTTATGCAATCCTTCTGCAATACTTCTGCAATCCTTCTGCAATCCTTCTGCAATCCTTCGGCAACCCTTCGACAATCCTGATGCAATCCTGATGTAATCCTGATGTAATCCCGATGCAATCCTGATGCAATCCTGATGCAATCCTGATGCAATTCTGATGCAATCCTGATGCAATCCTGATGCAATTCTGATTCAATCCTGATGCAATCCTGATGCAATCCGGATGCAATCCTGATGCAATCCTGGTGCAATCCTGATGCAATCCTGATTCAATCTTGATGCAATCCGGATGCAATCCGGATGCAATCCTGATGCAATCCTGGTGCAATCCTGATGCAATCCTGATGCAATCCTGATGCAATCCCGATGCAATCCCGATGCAATTCTGATACAATCCTGATGCAATCCTGATGCAATCCTGATGCAATCCTGATGCAATCCTGATGCAATCCTGATGCAATCCTGGTGCAATCCTGATGCAATCCTGATGCAATCCTGGTGCAATCCTGATGCAATCCTGATGCAATCCTGATGCAATCCTGATGCAATCCCGATGCAATTCTGATACAATCCTGATTCAATCCTGATGCAATCCTGATGCAATCCTGATGCAATCCTGATGCAATCCTGATGCAATCCTGATGCAATCCTGATGCAATCCTGATGCAATCCTGGTGCAATTCCGATGCAATCCTTATGCAATCCTTCTGAAATCTAATCTAGCTATCTAATTTATCCATCTACTCTATCCATCTAATCTATCCATCTAATCTATCCATCTAATCTAGCAATCTATCTAATTAAGCTTTCTAAGCTAGCTATCTATCTAGCTATATATCTAGCTATCCAATCAATCCATTTATTCTAGCTATCTAATCTAGCTATCAAATATAGCTATCTAATCTAGCTGTCTAATTCTATCTTTTCAATCCATGTAATCTAGCTATTTAATCTAGCTATCCAATCTATCTATTCAATTCATCTAATCTAGCTATCTTTTCTAATTTAGCTATCTATTTAGCTATCTATCTATGAGCTATCTAATCTAGCTATCTTATCCATCTATGTAATCTATCTATATAATCCAGCTATAAATCTATTTCTAGGCTATGCTTGGATTTAATGGTGTACTCAATACTTCGATGGTTATAATTGCTTGTCTTTATATTAGGTATTTCATCTTCTAAAATTATTCCAAATGTGAATTGCGATTAAAATAGAAAATTACAATATTTTTTTTAAACAATTGAATTTATTTCTATTAATATAATATGGTTGGTAGTGGTACAACTTACAAGACATAACTTAACGTTGTTTTCAAGTTTCGTTCGATTTTTCTACAAAAGTTGACCGACAGGTGTCACTGCTCTCGATGTTTCTGCATGGTTCCACGTGGGAAAGACACCTAGCGGACAAAAAATCGTCGTTTTTTGTGAATTGTATGTATATTAAACAAATAAAATATATAATGAAATCTCAACTATATACGAATACGTCGAAAAAAATCGGTGATTATAGGTAGTATAAATATCTCAATGATTTGTTTGGAATTAAAGAAATTTGTTTACCTTCCTAGTCGAATATTGCAACCTTCTAAAATTTGTATGAGTCGATTTTAACAATTTTCTCCTTATAGACGCAACAGATAGAAGTAAGATTAGTAGCAATCGCCAGCAAAAATTTTTCGACGAAAGCCTCTTTCATTTTTCGCGAACACTCCATTTTAAGTGAATACTGCTTTTACGTATTTTCCATCTAAAATTTCACAGTACAATAAACCTAATTGATTTAGCTCGACAAATATAGAAATATTCTCCCAATGTTGATATGGAACTTTTATTTGGTAAGAAATAAATTTTGTTCTAAACATAAACTTTAGGAACTGAAAACGTCATTTCAATTGACTCTACTTTCATAGAGAGGCATGTCCGATTCTCAACACACATTTACCTGATCTAGAAGTTATTTATATTTTTCAATTTCGGTGTCTCTATGAAAGTAACATTCGAATTTATATGCTACGAGAATATCCTGAAACAATTGAGGAATTAAACACAATTCGTTAGAACAACGACGATATCTTCCTGATATGAAGGGTACCGTTGTGAATCAGAAACCTGATATGAAGGGTACCGTTGTGAATCAGAAACGCCACGCTAGAAACTGAGGGTAATTTTTTAAAACGTCTTGGTATAGTCTTTTTAGTTCTGTCACACTCACAATTGTTAATATTTTAAACTATTGATGAATATGTTACCTTTGAACGAATACTTTTTTATTGTTTATCTTTAATAATTTATTTTTTTTCAGCATGGGATTCTTTGGATATCTTAAGGTATTTTATATTTTTATTAAAAACATACGAATAAAATCATAATTTTCTAACATTGTTAAATTTCAAGTTAATTTGAACATTTAACTTTAGCCATAGATATATGTTTCAATCGATTCTTTAATCGAAATTCCAATTTTTTTTCTTTTCCATGGCTGTAAATTAAAAAGATGTTTTAATTGTAACTATATAGGATTTGATTATAACTTAAAATTTACTTGAATTTGCGATGGATGACACGCTGAATATAATTCCTATATATCCTAATTCCACAGTTTTAATTGAAAATACAGTAAACTCCTAATTTCTCCTTAGTATAGCCTGGAAATGTCGGCTAAATATTGTAGAACCAAAATTCCCATTACAATTTACTTTATACATATACAGTGAGACCAACAAAACCGCGGATTGGATAGACGACGATTATACTGTTTTTACTGTATACGATGCCCTGACCAATATAAAAAAACGCATGATTGCGTAAATGTCGTCTTTCTATTTTACAGTTTTTTAAGCCTGGTGTAGTATTCTGTTATTTTGTTTATTTAGTACGGTGATGATGTAGAGAGTAGTATAACCCTAAACCTTCCTGCAGACTCACCATTAGCTCAGTCAGCTCTAGTCATGTTCAGGAATATTCTTATTATCTAGTCATGTTCAGCAATATTATTATCTGGTCATGTTTAGGAATATTCTAATTATATAATCATGTTCAGGAATATTCTTATTATCTAGTCATGTTCAGGAATATTCTTATTATCTAGTCATGTTCAGGAATATTCTTCTTATCTAGTCATGTTCAGGGATATTCTTATTATCTAGTCATGATCAGGAATATTTTTTATTATCTATTCATGTTCAGAAATATTCTTAATATCTAGTTATGTTCAGGAATATTCTTATTATCTAGTCATGATTAGGAATATTTGTATTATCTATTCATGTTCAGAAATATTCTTATTAACTAGTCCTGTTCAGGGATACTCTTGTTATCTAGTCATGTTCAGGAATATTCATATTATCTAGTCATGTTCAGGAATATTCTTATTATCTAGTAATGTTCAGAAATATTCTTATTATCTAGTCATGTTCAGGAATATTCTTATTATCTAGTCATGTTCAGGAATATTCTTATTATCTAGTCATGTTCAGGAATATTCTTATTATCTAGCTATGTTCAGCAATATTATTATTATCTAATCATGTTCAGGAATATTCTTATTATCTAGTCATGTTCAGGGATATTATTATCTAGTCATGTTCAGGGATATTCTTATTATCTAGTCATGTTCAGGAATATTCTTTTTATCTATTCATGTTCAGGGATATTCCTAACATCTATAATGTTTAGATATATTCTTATTATCTAGTCATGTTTAGGAATATTCTTATTATCAAGTCATGTACAGGGATATTATTATCTAGTCATGTTCAGGAATATTCTTATTATCTAGTCATGTTCAGGGATATTCTTATTATCTAGTCATGTACAGGGATATTATTATTTAGTCATTTTCAGGGATATTATTATCTAGTCATGTTCAGGACTATTCTTATTATCTAGTTATGTTCAGGGATATTCTTATTATCTAGTCATGATCAGGAATATTTTTATTATCTATTCATGTTCAGAAATATTCTTATTATCTAGTTATGTTCAGGAATATTCTTATTATTTAGTCCTGTTCAGGGATACTCTTGTTATGTAGTCATGTTCAGGGATATTCATATTATCTAGTCATGTTCAGGAATATTCATATCATCTAGTCATGTTCGGGAATATTCTTATTATATAGTCATGTTTAGATATATTCTTATTATTTAGTCATGATCACGGATATTCTTATTATCTAGTCATGATCAGGAATATTCTTATTATCTAGTCATGTTTAGGAATATTCTTATTATCTAGTCATGTACAGGGATATCATTATCTAGTCATGTTCAGGAATATTCTTATTTTCTAGTCATGTTCAGGGATATTCTTATCTAGTCATGTTCAGGAATATTCTTATTATCTAGTCATGTTCAGGGATATTCTTATTATCTAGTCATGTTCAGGGATATTATTATCTAGTCATGGTATATTCCTTTCCTTGTCATGTACAATACTGTTACATCTGCAATTTAATAATCTGTCATCATAAAGTTTATTTCTAATCATATTTGATTTGATACAGATGACACCTTAGCGATTCGAAATCTATAAAATAAAGAATAAGAAATATTTTAGTTTGGCAATATTTTTCTCCTACGCTCTTCAGTTCTATGTAGTGATGGATATAATAGGACCGAACCTAATTAAACCCTATGTACCGGAGAGATTGTACATGCCTGCTGAATACACTACCAGGATTCTACTCAATGTATTTACATGTATGTATGTACGGTTCCACTTACAAAATACAATATGCTGTACAGTTGTGTACTGATTTAAAAGAAAAAAAAGAAAATTTTTAATATCAGAGGATCTTATAGATCCTTGTGTTTTTTCGTAAATACTTGTACTCAAAATAACAAAAAAAACATCTTAAAACAAATTTAAAAACAATTCCCTCTGCCAAATATTATTTTTAGCTTTATCTTAAATATTTTTCAGCATAAATTACTAAACAAATTAGGAAAAATGTCAAGGTCCATGAACTTCTTTTGAATTTAAGAATTGTCACAAAGAAAAATTTCTTGGATTTACAATTTATATTCAAAATATTAATTTCACTTTGGGGTTTCTCTTTTTAAAAATGTTGTGAACAAATTTGATAAGGTTCTATGAACGTTACCCCTAAACCAACCCCAAAATGCGAACAGCTCCTTTATTGTTTAGTGGGACTGGCTGCAACTGTACCTTGGCTTGATCTGCTAGTGTCCCTGCTTGGTGCTGTGAAGATGTCCACACTCTCACTGATGGCACCAGCTCTCATAGGTTAGTTTCAGATACGAGTTTAGAAACCCTCTAATTTAAAGAGAAAATCAGATTCTTCTTATTGTTGTTCAAGAGCGTCGTCGTTCCTAAACAAACACACAATTACTAACAAACAAACATACACCCAATCTTTTCTTCACGTACATCATCTATATACAATTTAGCTTGTCTTTCTGGGTGTTTGTGTGTATCCAACAAACGTCAAAACGGCTGAACCGATCGGGCACAAATTTTGTGTGGGACCTCACGTGACCCCAGGGAAGGTTTATGGATGATTAAATTTTTAAAAAATTACCTCTAACAAAATTCGATTTTTCAAAATTTTTAAATTAAACAAAAATTTCTTTATAAAATCCGCGAAATTTTTGTTTGTTTTTGTTTTACAATGTATACAAAGAAAACATGTTCGCAATTGAAATAGAAGATGGGCGCAAAGCTCCATAGAAGCCTAGTTTAACTAAAAGATCCAATCTTGTATTGTTTTCAGTTTCTCTGATGGATTTTCTAAACAACTTTTGAAAATGGAACATTATTAGATGCAAAACTTTAAATTCCGACCTGCTGTTTACTTTTGCAGGAGTCATGTGACTGTGAGGTCCTACAAAATAGTTGATCCTGAGCTGAAAACTTTAGAATGTGATATCCTTAATCCCGATCCGTTAATTAATCTGGAGATTAATAATAAGAGGAGAACAAGTATTGTTTAATCTGGAGATTAAGAAAAAGGGGAGATTAAGCATCGATCTCGATATCCATCATTGTAAAGTTTTCCGCTCTGAAAACTTTAGAATGAGTTATCCTTAATCCCGATTACTTAATCTGAGTATCCAATGGACACACTTTTGATTTTCTTCTTAAACCGTTCTTTCTTGGATATAGTAGAGAAAAATAGAATGAAGCATTAACCTCGATATCCACCATTCTAAAGTTTTTAGCTCTGATCGGTTTAACCGTTTTGGCAAATATTGAATAGACGAATATAGAAATATTTGATCTTAATTGAATTTTTATTTAGTCATTGATTATTTTATTTCAGAGACAAGTGCTAACTGGAGTACAGATACTAGAACTAAATGTATATTTAGGTAAATTACAATATTTTCCGCAAAATTTAATTTGTTAATCAAAGTTTTAGCATTTCAAAAAATAATTCTTTAAATAAATGTTTTTTTTCAGATCTTTGAAGAACAGTTTTATCTTCCTAGTGGGACTCCTGGGATGTATTATCGGAACCTACATCAGTCTTCTAGAAATAGTTAAAAAATTCCAGGAACCAGAGTAGTTTAAACTCTACCTTGCCTAACAATTCAAATAATAAAAATCGGAAAAATCCGAATTTCAAAATTTCGGAATGAAATAACAATAACTAGATTTCAACAGGATCAAAACTCCGGAATTCCGGATAATCAATCAAGTCCGAAATCTGTTAAACTGTTGAACCCAGATTAAAGAATTCATGAACACATTGAATCTAAAGAAAGACACACTTCCAAGATGGAATAATAACAAGAAGTTGAATTTTAGAAGAAAGAATCTAAAAACTTGAAAATTGATTAGTTAAAATAAGCTTTAATGGTTCAGACATATTTCTTGACTGAAAGAAAGAAAAGTTTCTTGTAAAATGTAATCGCCATATTGGTTTTGCTATTTCTTATTATATAAGCATTTTTCAAACAGCTTTCACTTTTATGGAGATTTTTTAAAAAATATTTCCCCTGAATTATGTGAACAATATTTCCCCTGAATTATGTGAACAATATTTCCCCTGAATTATGTGAACAATATTTCCCCTGAATTATGTGAACAATATTTCCCCTGAATTATGTGAACAATATTTCCCCTGAATTATGTGAACAATATTTCCCCTGAATTATGTGAACAATATTTCCCCTGAATTATGTGAACAATATTTCCCCTGAATTATGTGAACAATATTTCCCCTGAATTATGTGAACAATATTTCCCCTGAATTATGTGAACAATATTTCCCCTGAATTATGTGAACAATATTTCCCCTGAATTATGTGAACAATATTTCCCCTGAATTATGTGAACAATATTTCCCCTGAATTATGTGAACAATATTTCCCCTGAATTATGTGAACAATATTTCCCCTGAATTATGTGAACAATATTTCCCCTGAATTATGTGAACAATATTTCCCCTGAATTATGTGAACAATATTTCCCCTGAATTATGTGAACAACATTTCCCCTGAATTATGTGAACAATATTTCCCCTGAATTATGTGAACAACATTTCCCCTGAATTATGTGAACAATATTTCCCCTGAATTATGTGAACAACATTTCCCCTGAATTATGTGAACAATATTTCCCCTGAATTATGTGAACAACATTTCCCCTGAATTATGTGAACAATATTTCCCCTGAATTATGTGAACAACATTTCCCCTGAATTATGTGAACAATATTTCCCCTGAATTATGTGAACAACATTTCCCCTGAATTATGTGAACAATATTTCCCCTGAATTATGTGAACAATATTTCCCCTGAATTACGTGAACAATGCCACGTATTTTTGTCAGTTATAGCTTTATTTTAGTTTTTATTCATAACGCTTTGTAAATATTTTATTTTGATGATCCTTCGAAAATGTTGTTGCTTTTATTAGTTAGATATTTTTTTTACATTTCTAATATTTTACATAATTTATTATTTGTACTTATATACGTGTCCTGACACTTGTGTGAATAATAGACAATATTTGACTAGTATAAAAATGTTTAAAGGGCCCAGTAACGTGCAGTTAAAGAATTGAAATTCGACAATCATACAAACGTGTTTTTTCCTTTATAATATTGTTAATAGGATGCAGCTACTCCTATAGACTTAAATTTAAGGGATTTACAACGTAATTTTAATTGACCCACCATCTATAGGAGCATGTTCTATTTAACAAGGTTCACTTTACACCTTTGTGTTGGCAATAATGATCAAGAAATCCTCGTTTTCTCTTCTCAAAATGTGTTATTACTAAAGCGACTTTCGGATTTACACAGTGGAGACTCGGAAGAAAGCTGTGCGACCGACTTTGGAACTTTAGTAGATGGAAAAGTCTACCGTTGTGAATCGATCATGAAACTCGTTGAATTGGGGTCATTTTAAAAAAACGTCGCGATATTACTTTAAATATGAACATAATCCAGATACATGGATCAATTAGGAATAATAAAATGATTCATATTTTAATACGTGTACTGTACATTGTACAGACGTACAAAGTGATTATAACATCTCTTTCAACTCTTAGAGGTTACTTAGAACGTTAATGTTTCATTTGAACTAAAGCTGGATTTATTTTGTATTTAAAATCGTGAAAATATATGTACCATGTACATTGTACAATAAATGCATAATTTCATATTTTTAGTTTAAGTCAGGGTGTGGGCTCTGGGGCTCCCACCTGTTACCTGTATCTGCAGTTACCTTAATTGTCACCTCTATCTGTTACCTTTACTGATGCCAGTATCTTTTAGCTTAACTGTTTCCTGTATCTTTAACCTTGACTGTTACCTGTATCTGTTACCTTAATTGTTACCTGTATCTGTTGCCTTATCTGTTACCTTAAATGTTACCTTTATATGCTACATGTATCTGTTACCTTAACTGTTACCTTTATGTGCTACATGTATCTGTTATCTTTATCTGTTACCTGAACTGTTATCTTTATCTGTTAGCTGTATATGTCATCTATATCTGTAACCTTAACTGTTTCCTGTATCTGTTGTCTGTGTCTGTTACCTGTATCTGTTATCTATATCTGTTACCTGTATCTGTTACCTGTCTATTTTTTTTAAACAGATGCACAGATGCTGATAAGCTCAAGATAAAGAATGCAAATTATAAGTTATCCATAAATCTCAAAACTATAATATAAAAAAGAAGTGATTTTAATCTTAATATTTTCAAACGCAAATAAAATTTACCAAATCATTTATTTGAGAAAAGCACTAATTTTTTTATTTTTAGAAATAAATGACTTTTTACACTTACTAAACGTAAATAAATCAAATTCTTCCTTTTATCTCTCTAATTCTTTTACCTTTCTTTGCCTTCTTCTCATTTTTCATTCCATTCTTTTCTGTATTTAAGTTAAAAAATGTGTTACCCTTCTGGGGAATATGGGGGGGGGGTCCTTATTTACAACGATATACCCTTTCTGGTTTTAAAAGTGTTTTATTCTTATAATTGCCTCATTGCTTCGCGGTAGAATTGCTCAAGTGATTTTGCAGAGGAACAATCACCTTTCAAAAAGGGAATTATGGTATATTTAATCTATACTTGCTTGATCATACAGAGCTTTAAAGGGAGTGACCGGCTATGTAAGGTAGTTGAACTGAGTATGCAGTGTTGTGGAAAGCTTCTTAAGGATTCATTTGAGACATTAACTTTTTAAAGATCTGTAAATCCTGAGTTTGAGCGCAAATTCGACGTTCAAAACTCCTACTTTGGAAAGGTGGATAAATTTTCAGAATTAGTTTTTTTAATTATAACATAACGACGACATAAAACGTAAAAAAAAATCTACAGTAAATTAATTAGGTGTTAAAGAACAGGTTGAGAAAATAAAAATCATTCTTATCATAAAAAATAAGTAATCTTGTTCAATTAGTTCAATTAGTTTCTATTTTATCATTATTCTGGTTTCTCATTATTCACAAAGATTTTCTGCAGATTTTCTGGAATTATTATTGAAAAGACGACATTTGAAGAATTTGAAGAAATCTGCGAATAAATTTAATGAAAATGAGAAATTCAATGAAATGATGAAAACGAAATAATTGAATTTAGGATTGGTTTATTGACAAATTTCTTNAAAAAAAAACAGATTCTGAAAACGTATCCACCCCCAAAGTAGGAGTTTTGAACGTCGACTTTGCGCTCAAACTCGGGATTTACAGGTCTTTAAAAAGTTTTATATGTCTCAAATGAATCCTAAAGAAGCTTTCCACAACACTGCATACTCAGTTCAACAACCTTACATAGCTGGTCTGTCCCTTTAAAGGATTCCGCTGTGAATCTGATATTTTATAATAATAAATGAACGCTAAAAATAAAAAATTTAATTATGTAAATAAATCTGAACATGGTTGCAAATATCTGATTCGCAGATTTATATTGCTTAGTTTTTACAGCCTCCATAGTTTGAAATATTGAACAAATATTATGTCTGGAAGAATATAGGGTAAGGGGGGAAGGGGGAAAAGGGGATCTCTGAAGAAGCAAAAACAATAAAATGTAAGCTTGTTATGTTGAGGGGGTAGGGTGGGGGAATGAAATGAACTACAGCTATAGTCTGGTTTAAAATCTCTAAGAACCAGGATATTTAAAACTATATTCTCTAGTACTAGAGGCCCCACTTAACATGAAAGTTGAAAGACGACCTTAAATACTGTCTTTTATTCTAATGACAGAATTTGTATTCAGCTCTCCTTAATGTGGTTTACAGTGTACTCCTGGAGAACATTGATAGCACAATAAATACAAACCACACTTAGGAAAATCCATGACAATGTTTGAACTGACAACAAAAGCACGTTTGCTGCCATTTAGCTGATAAAAATTTAAAATGTGTTCAGTTGAAATGATTTTTGACGGCAAAATTGTTTCGTAGAAATATTCAGTACACCTACAGGGAGTAACCATAGATAAATAAATAAACATAGATAGCTTATGCACGCAAAATCACCAAGAATTGTACAGCCCGCGAACTTATATTTCCAGGGGTCAAAGTATAGTTTAATGATAAGTGGGGTGGTTTGGTGTTTTATTGGATTTCATTTTTATTAAACCTGCACTCAGGAGTGAATTTTATTTTGAGAATATCATATTGACGAGAACTGAAGAAGGACATGAGAAGGACTAAACTAACTTAAATTTCTCTCTACAGAACTCATGTATACCACAAGTACAAAATGACATAAGAACTACCAATGTTCACCTAGTTAATCTATATAATAGGAATATCTTGAAAGCATCTCTGTAGCATTTTTATGGTTTGCACTTTCAAAACAAGAGCGTAAAATCTTCTGTAAAGTTTTACCTGTCGGGTTGGTCAGCACAAATTGGTTTCAGATTATAATGCAAATATTTAAAAAACTTAAACAAGTTCTTTAATTCTGGGGTTGACTGAGTGCTCTTATTAAAGAATTGAATAAATGTTCTAATAATAGGGTTAAATAAGTGCTCTAATTATAGCATTGAATAAATGCTCTAATAATAGGGTTGAATAAGTGCTCTAATTATAGCATTGAATAAATGCTCTAATAATAGGGTTGAATAAGTGCTCTAATTATAGCATTGAATAAATGTTCTAATAATAGGGTTAAATAAGTGCTCTAATTATAGCATTGAATAAATGCTCTAATAATAGGGTTAAATAAGTGCTCTAATTATAGCATTGAATAAATGTTCTAAAAATAGGGTTAAATAAGTGCTCTAATTATAGCATTAAATAAATTCTCTAATAATAGGGTTGAATAAGTGCTCTAATCATAGCATTAAACAAATGCTCTAATAATAGGGTGAAAAAATGCTCTAATCATAGGGTTGAATAAGTGCACTAATCATAGCATTAAATAAATGCTCTAATAATAGGGTTGAATAAGTGCTCTAATTATAGCATTTAATAAATGCTCTAATAATAGGGTTGAATAAGTGCTCTAATCATAGCATTAAATAAATGCTCTAATAATAGGGTTAAATAAATGCTATAATAGCAGGGTTAAATAAATGCTCTAATATTAGGCTGAATAAATGCTATAATAGTAGGGTTGAATAAATGTTCTAATAATAGGGTTGAATAAATGCTCTAATCAGAGCATTGAATAAATGCTCTAATAATAGGGTTGAATAAATGCTATAATAGTAGGGTTGAATAAATGCTCTAATTATGGCATTGACTAATTGCTCTAATATTAGGGCTGAATAAATGCTATATTAGTAGGGTTGATTAAATGCTCTAATAATAGGGTTAAATAAATGCTTTAATAGTAGGGTTAAATAAATGCTCTAATTATGGCATTGACTAATTGCTCTAATATTAGGGCTGAATAATTGCTCTATTATAGTCAAAGGGTTGAATAAATGCTCTAATAATAGGGTTGAATAAATGCTCTAATAATAGGGTTAAATAAATGCTCTAATAACAGGGTTAAATAAATGTTCTAATAATAGGGTTGAATAAATGCTCTAATAATAGGGTTAAATAATTGCTCTATGATAGTTAAAGGGTTGAATAAATGCTCTAATAATAGGGTTAAATAATTGCTCTAAACAGATTATAAGATATGTTAAGTAAAAAGTAGAATCCCTGTACTTGCGGTTTGCAGGGTTGAGTTTTTATTCCCTTTCTTGGGTTGAATTTGTTTATTTTAGACCCCCCTCCCCTTAAATTCCCCCACATCTTCATTCCCCCTTCACCTCCCCCCCTCCTCTGCAATATTCAGTCTCTTGAAGTCTATTCACTTGATAAAACATTTTTCTTAAAACTTTCAAACGTAATTTTAGCTGACCTTTTCTTTCTTTATTTTGGACATTCAAAATATCTGTGTAAAATTTTTCGATTTAAAGTGAAAGACAAACACAAGTCATGTACAATACTCATAGCATAGCTATATATATATATCCTGGAAAATTCGGATCACATTATTATTATTATTAATATTGTTATTAATAATATTATTACTATTAATATTAAAGTTATTATTATTAGGAATATCATTATTATTATTTAATTTTGTTGTAGTAAATAATACGTTCCGATTGAATTATTGGAAATCCTTTGGGGAAATAACTATTTGTTAATACGTTTTATTAAGTAATTGATGGTACCATTGGATCTAAAATTTGGAGCGAATAGTCTAAAAATCTAAAAATGATTAAAAACTGTGGGTTTTTAGTCAATTATTCTAAAATATTGTAATATTGCATTAGAGGGTTTCCCAAGCTTTAAAAGTGCATAGAATTTCATATAATAATAACATTTCTGTCAAAAGGTTGAAAGATATATATTTTGTTGCTAACCAAACGCAAAAAAATGTACTTTGAAGTAGTTCCAGTGTGAAGACATGAATCTGAAGACAATTAGTCAAAAAGTCGTCTCGAACTTGAAATAGGACAAATCACTATAACATCACAAAAAATATCTCCCAAAAACATTTAAGATATTTTTGCTGATGATATTTTTAGAAATAAAATGGTTCTAACATATAACTACAATACTGAACGCCCGGGAAAAGGTAAAGTAAAATTACTTCAATGCTAGACCATTAACTATTTGTGAAGTTGTTTTATAACAAAACTTGATTGTACTCATGAAAAAACGATATTCAAATAAATTTTAAATTTTTTTTTTGTACAGGGTGACCTGTAAAACATCAAAATCTAAAATATTTTGGTAATTCATAATTATCTAATTATCTTCAAAACTTTACTTTTCATGTTTTAGCTATTTAGATCTTTTAAAGAAGTTTCCAAAAATATCTTTAAATTTTTTATAGCAAAAAAATTGACAATTTTATAGATTCAAAACTAAATTACAGGGCGTTCTTTTGGTTTTCTTCCGAATTCAAAATCTTGTTTTTTGGGGTTTTTTAAAATTGAAAATTAAAAAAAAAACCCAATTTTGAAGTTACGAACTTACGTCAAATATAAAATATGTTTTGAAAACAGGGAATCCTAAGGAAAGCGCAGGAAAAGACAAGACAACATTTAGTTTAAGAATAAAGGCACTTTAAAAAAACCTCACCCGGTCAAAATTGACCTTCTCGTCACTAATGGGCTAATTTAAATAATTCAAAAATTACTGGAAATATCTTTAAAAAAGCATTCTTATCTGAGATCGACCTTACTTTTAAATTGTAATATAAATGTAATGCGAAGAGATCACTTGAAAAATGAAAATTTTCGCTAAAAAAATGTTAACCCCCTTTACTCCTGTGACAGATGAACAATAGTAAAATTGCAAAATATTTTGACTTTACGATTCCAAATGCAGAGGAAGACTTTTTGCAAAATGCTTTTTAGCCTAAAGTTTATTCCACACGAAAAGGAAAACTATGCAAAAGCAAAAAGTTTTAGGATAAAAAGATAGACCTTTTAAACAGAATGCCTTAAAAACGCAAAAAGTGTGAAGGTCTGCTTTTAAGCCTAAAGAGAAAGAGAGGTTAAAAACGCCCCCCCCCCTCCATTGTCATCTTATCAGGCTAATTTATTTTCAAAAAGCGTTCTGATGGATCGATTCTACACTGGATATAGTCCAGACTGGACAGTACGACTGAATGCACATACAGTACATGTTGTACAGGCTTGGATCATGCAGTTTTTAGAGTGGGGTGCCCCATCAAGAATGTGAGGGTCTCAGATTTTAGGTCAAATTGGGTCGAATTGGGTCGAATTGGGTCAACTTGGGTGAAATTGGGTCGAATTGGATTGAATTGGGTCGAATTGGATCGAATTGTGTCGAATTGTGTCAAATTGGGTCGAATTTGGTCGAATTGTGTCGGATTGGATCAAATTGGGTCGAATTGGGTCAAATTTGGTCAAATTGGGTCAAATTGGATCGAATTGAGTCGAATTGGGTCAAATTGGGTCGAATTTGGTCGAATTGTGTCGAATGGGGTCAAATTGGGTCGAATTGGGTCGAATTGGGTCAAATTGGGTCAAATTGGGTCAAATTGGATCGAATTGGGTCGAATTGGGTCAAATTGGGTCGAATTGGGTCGAATTGTGTCGAATTGGGTCAAATTGGGTCGAATTAGGTCGAATTGGGTCAAATTGGGTCGAATTGATAGTGAAATGAAATTGAAAACCCAGCTGTTACCTTTCTTCTCGTTTTAAGTTAAATTATTGCAACTTGTAAGTTGTTTTTATAAATTAAATATCATCTTTTCCAAAATCCAGAATTAACATTGAAATTTTTAAAATTAAGCTTTTCTTTTTACATAAAAGGAAAATTTAAAAGAATTTCTTTATTAAAGCTACAAGTAATGTATTTAATTTTATATAATTTTGGCCAATTTATTTGATGAGCCCTGCCCCTAACCTTTACAAGATTTATTTGATGAGCCCTAACCTTTACAAGATTTATTTGATGAGCCCTAACCTTTACAAGATTTATTTCATGAGCCCTAACCTTTACAAGATTTGTTTGATGAGTCCTAACCTTTACAAGATTTATTTCATGAGCCCTAACCTTTACAAGATTTATTTGATGAGCCCAACCTTTACAAGATTTATTTCATGAGCCCTAACCTTCACAAGATTTATCACGCATTTATCTAATTTTGTTTTGTTTGTGTCTGTGGTTTCTTTTTATGTTTACTATTCATCAATATTATTGGGAAAATAGAAAACTGAATTGTCCGACACGAAATAACATTTTTTAAATAATATAAATCATCAACTCTGTAAATCAACAACTGGGTTTTTTCGAACCACCGCGATACCATTTTAATTTAAATTTCAAGTCGAATTTATCTATCTCTCTTTCTATGTATCTATCTCCCTACTTTGATATCACGTGATGTGCCTTTATTGGCCTTCTTCCTGCCTCAAAGTTTTGTCAATATTTGAAGAATGTGCACAAATAACTATATTACTCAAGTCCTAGACCGTTATAGAGAAATATAATATACTAGGAGACCCCTTTCCTACAAATAATTTTAGCTTTTCACTGTTGCTCTGAAAGTCGACTATTTTAAATAGTTTTCTATAATTTTGGCAGATTTTTCTTTTTGATTTGGTGGATTCACATAAAAATTTCAATAAATTTTCCAGGAATTTTTCCCCCAAGTTTGATGTTCCATAACCTTCCCTGGGGTCATTTGAGGCCCCACAGAAAATTTGGTCCCGATCGGGTCATCTGTTTTGACATTTATTGAATACATACTGACAGAAAAAATTATGGTACTTTAGTACTAAAGTACCATAATTTTAATAATTGTACAATTATTAAAATTATGATACTTCAGTACAATTATTAAAATTATGGTACTTCAGTACAATTATTTAAATTATGGTACTTCAGTACAAATATTAAAATTATTGTACTTCAGTACAATTATTTAAATTATGGTACTTCAGTACAATTATTAAAATTATGGTACTTCAGTACAATCATTTAAATTATGGTACTTCAGTACAATTATTTAAATTATGGTACTTCAGTACAATTATTTAAATTATGGTAATTCAGTACACTTATTTAAATTATGGTAATTCAGTACAATTATTAAAATTATGGTACTTCAGTACAATTATTTAAATTATGGTAATTCAGTACAATTATTAAAATTATGGTACTTCAGTAAAATTATTAAATTGGGAAACAACCCCTTTAATAAATTCATAAACAATCTGTGTATAGGGGGATATTCTGGTTTAATTTCTTATATTTCTTGGAGGGAAAATGGCGGGATTTGGGGATATAGAAAGGAGGTGGAGCGAAAGGGTTTAAAATTGTTCAATAATAAAGCGGAGAACACTTTTTCAGATATGTGCACTAAAACGGAATTTTGTTATAACAATACTGCATTAAAACTAGAATAGATTTCTGAGTTTTTTCAATCGGTTATATTTTAATGATTTTTACCATGTTTATGATGATTATTATTAAAAAAACTCTAAGCATTGTTTTTGTAATTTAAACTCAAGAAAAAATATGTAAGACAGTTAAATCAGAGGTTAAAATTTTTCCTGTACCTTAAACCTCTGATTTCAGCGCTCTGATGATTTATTTCAACCTTCAACTTTATTTACCCATTAATGCCAGAAACAGACAACTTACACAAATTTAAGATGTTAAACCGCAATTTTTAAAGTTTGTCCGTTGGATATCGAGATCATTCGTTGCAAAATTCCCCCCTCTCTAAACTATAATCTTTTAAAGGAAAAATTAGTTTATGATAGCTTGTATATAATGTACCTTATGCAGGACAATGTCAAGATTATTATTATTATTTATTTCAATTAGAAGTATTCTTGTATTCTGCAGTATCCCTCAATATAACGGCCTGCCAATGGGGAAGGTATTATGGCTTCAGTTTGGGAAAAGTTCTGCTGCTTTACACTGCCTTAAAACTATACATTGATTTGAGACTTTGAGTGGGTTGGGGGAGGAAAGGGGGGGGGCGGAATCTTCGAAACAGAACAAGAAAATCTTCAAAACAGTTTTTGTGTAAAATCTACCAAAATTAAGAAAGTTTCCTGACTTCTTATTGTTTACCATTCTAATGAAGACAGTCCATTGAAGGGCCTTGTCCTAATTTCGGGGGAAATTATTAGATATTTCATGCGGTTTATGTAAACATAAGAACAATAATATTTCTAAAAAAAAGAATAATGGCAACGCAAACAGAGCGTCCTTACTATCTGGGAAATGTGCCCAGTAAGTTTTCTTTTTAAATTTCAGTTTTGAAACATCTTATAATTCTGATACTTTTTTCTGTGTCTAAACCTGTATGGTTCTCTCTGAGAATCTTTGATACTTTCTTATAACTTGTTTGGTGTTTGTATAAACTGGGTTCTGAATACTGATATAAACTTGTTTGGTGTATGTATAACTGAGTACTGAAGACTGATATCAACTTGTTTGGTGTATGTATAGACTTGATTCTGAAGACTGATATCAACTTGTTTGGTGTATGTATAGACTGGGTTCTGAAGACTGATTAAACTTGTTTGGTTTATGTGTAAACTGGCTTCTGAAGACTGATGTCAACTTGTTTGGTGTATGTATAAACTGGGTTCTGAAGACTGACATAAACTTGTTTGGTGTTTGCATAAACTGAGGTATGAAGGCTGATATAAACTTGTTTGGTGTATGTATAGACTGAGTACTGAAAACTGACATAAAATTGTTTGATGTATGTATAGACTGGGTTCTGAAGGCTGATATAAACTTGTTTGGTGTATGTATAGACTGGGTTCTGAAGACTGATATCAACTTGTTTGGTGTATGTACTATAAACTGGGTACTGAAGACTGATATAAATTTGTTTGGTGTATGTATAGATTGGGTTCTGAAGACTGATATAAACTTGTTCGGTGTATGTATTGATTGGGTACTGAAGACTGATATAAACTTGTTTGGTTTATGTATAGACTGGGTTCTGAAGACTGATCATGGTTTGGACGGTGACTCCCTTTCCTACCTGGATATGCAGGAGAGGAACAACCAGGAGGAGAACAGGAGATCCAGGGAGAGGATTATCATGGACGAGGGAAGGTAAACAAGCCCCTCCAAACTCCCCCTTCCCCCAATCCCCTCTATCCCTCCATCCATAAGATAAAGAACGGAAAAGAAAATTAGAGTGATTATTTGAGATTTTCTGTAGAAAAAGAAAGAAATTAAATCAGAAAAATCTAAATAACCAAAATTTCAAAGATATATCAGTAACAAATGGAGCGAAAATAGGAAAATATCAAAAAGCTGAAAAAGCTGGATAAGCTTTAAAAGCTTGAAGAGCTGATTTGAAAAGAATATTTTTATTTAGAGCGCTGTGGGAGATAAAGAAGAGAGAGGAGGAAGACCTCATCATGAAGGAGATGAACGAGATTAGGGAGCTTAATAAAAACAAGATTTTCGGAAGGTTTTGCTATATTCATTTAATAATACAGTGGTTGACATAATCATGTGGTATACAAAGATTCCTAAAACTAAAATGCAGTACGTATTGACACTCAGGTTTGAATGTTTGCATTATTAAAAGTCTAAAAACAAAAACCATTACATTGCCTATATAAAACTGTGCTGGAGTACCGATTAAATGATATGTTACATGTAAAACACATGCAGTGGGTCTCAAAAAACATGCACTGCATAAGCTAAAGCTAACAAAAAAACGCTTATTTGGCAGCTAAAGTTGGATGACTGTGGGAAGTTGGGAACGAAATGATGACGAAAAACATATTTTGAATGTATTTAATCAAACCTGGTAATAAATATATGAAAATATTGATGTGTACGATGTGCATTGAACTCTATAGTGCAAATATTTTTCCAAAAATCAAATTTCACATTTTATTAGGGACAAATTTATTAAAAACAAAATTTATTGAAATGGAAAAGAGAAGTCATTGTATAAATGTTTTAACCTATATTTGTTCAAGACCGGGGCATGGTGCTCCCACCTATGATGTTCGAAAGAAGAAGTTTACTGAACATCAACTAGACCATGTTCAGCAGGCGCAGGTTCATAAACAACATTTATATTCGGAACAATTAGAACTAATTAGGGGATTAGTTGGGTTTTGATTAATTTAATTTTTTATATAAAAAAATTATTTTCCTTGCTTTTCCCCCTCATTTCGTTTTTTGATAATTTAGAGCTAGAAAATTCTTGAAAACTTTTCAGTTTGGTTTTTAAATTCTTTTTTATATCGTTGCAAATTAGTTGTTGGTGTGTTGTATTCTGTATTAGTTAATCAAAAATAAGGATTGAATTTTAATTTATTTTTCTGTCCAATTCACAGATCAAGTATGACCCATATATCAATATATATAATTTTAAAAACATTTTCAATTGTGGTTTCTCTACAAAAGTGACTTGCGAATTTTAAAGGGTACCGTCGCGAATCGGGAATTGCGTTCTTAGCTAGAAGGGTCACAGAGAATTACTCTTACAGTTCCTTTAATTGCAGGTGGTTGGAGGTAGAGGAGGGGGTAGCTGGGACGATGAAGGATTATCTGAATATGTTCCCCCGCCCTCCAGAGGAGGAAATAGGACAGAGAGGATTGATGATATTTCTCCAGGGGTAATATCACATTTTATATCCCTTTGGTTACATATTTTATATCCCTTTAGTTACACATTTTATATCCCTTTAGTTGCACATTTTATATCCCTTTAGTTACACATTTTATATCCCTTCAGTTACACATTTCTAGGGACATCCTATCAGTTGCCAAGCTACTAGTTTCAGAACTACTAGTTTCAAGGGACATCCTAGCAGTTGCCAAGCTACTAGCTTCAGAACTAATAGTTTCTAGGGACATCCTAGAAGTTTCCGAGCTACTAGTTTCTGAACTACTAGTTTCTAGGGACATTCTAGCAGTTGCCAAGCTACTAGTTTCAGAGCTACTAGTTTCTAGGGACATCCTAGCAGTTGCCGAGCTACTAGTTTCTGAACTACTAGTTTCTAGGGACATCCTAGCAGTTGCCAAGGTACTAGTTTCAGAACTACTAGTTTCTAGCGACATCCTAGCAGTTGCCGAGCTACTAGTTTCAGAACTACTAGTTTCTAGGGACATCCTATCAGTTGCCAAGCTACTAGTTTCAGAACTACTAGTTTCTAGGGACATCCTAGCAGTTGCCGAGCTACTAGTTTCAGAACTACTAGTTCCTAGGGTCATCCTAGTAGTTGCCGAGCTACTAGTTTTAGAACTACAAGTTTCTAGGGACATCCTAGCAGTTGCCAAGCTACTAGGTTCAGAACTTTCCTATTTTTATTAACTCTGTAATTGTTTGCACATGTTAGTCAGTATTTGAAAATATTATGAGAATTCCCTGTCTGTACTCAGCATGATATAATATTTATAACTTTCCTGAGGATGCCCTGTCGTTTGGTCGGTCTGGAAATGGTGCCCCTGTTAGAACTAAATCTGGAAGGATTAGAACATCTTTGACTGGAAATCCAGAAATTAGGTAATATAAATCTAAATAAATGTCAGTTGGAAAATACTCTGCTTTGAATATGGCATGAGAGTAATTCTTCTTGGTTAGCAAACGAGAAGCGTCCTGGATCACATATTACATTGAGAATACAGACTAAGTCCTATCCGGATTGATATTGAATATGATATTCATGTGAACCTTGAGTTCCTGATTGAGTTGTATCTTGTAAGACAGACTCCTGAGAATACAAACTGAGCCGTATCCGGATTGATATTGGCTATGGAATTTCGTGTGAACCTTGAGTTCCTATATTGAGTTGTACCTGGATTGGTACTGTTCTAAAAGTACTTATAGGAGTTGGGAATTTACTACATAACAACATGTTTATTCAATACTTTACCAAACTATTTTAGGGCAAGAAACCAGATGGGAGGGAGAGGTGGCAGGGAATATAACTTAAATAAAGGGAAAGAAGGGGAGATATTGAAGTATTAGGGAGGGTTATGAAATTATGAAAGAAAGGTACAACGTTAATAGTTATTAAACACCAAAATTGCGACCAAAGGAATTAATAACACGTTAAAAGATTTCGGAAAATTACATTCTTACAATTTAGATTCAATCGTTGAAGCACTAATAGACAAAAAAGATGTGAAATTTATGTAAAAAATATCTTTACAGATTCCAGGCGAATGAGAGTGTTCAAAAAAGCATCTGTAACTCTATTAGGTTCGTTTATCTATTCATTCATCATTCATTCATTGGTATATTCATCTATCAATTCATATCAATTCATTTATCTATTCACTTATCTTTTCATTTATCGATTCATTTATTTATTCATTTATATATTCACTTGTCTATTCATTTATCTATTCATTTATATATTCATTTATCTATTTATTTATCTATTCATTTATCTATTCATTTATCAATTCATTTATCTATTCATTTATCTTTTCATTCATCAATTCATTTGTCAATTCATTTATCAGTTAATTTATCTAATCATTTATCTACTCATTTATCTATTCATTCAGATATTCATTTGTATATTCATTTATCAATTCATTTATAAATTCATTTATCAGTTCATTTATCAATTAATTTATCAGTTAATTTATCTAATTATTTATCTACTCATTTATCTATTCATTTATCAATTCATTTGTAAATTCATTTATCAGTTAATTTATCTAATCATTTATCTACTCATTTATCAATTCATTTATATATTCATTTATCTATTTATTTATCTATTCATTTATTTATTCACTTATCTATTCATTTATCAATTCATTTATATATTCACCTATCTACTTTTTTACCTTTTTATTTAACTCATTTATTCATCCATTTATCAATTTATTTATCATTTAATTAATCTAATCATTTATCTACTCATTTATCTAGACATTTATATATTCATTTATCTATTTATTTTTCATTCATTAAAATAAATCTTTTTTTACGAGGAAGAGAGGGTGGTCTCGCCATAAACCTCAATAAGCCCATCTGCCGCCCATAATAAAAATATTAGAAAAGATTTATTCAGATATGCGAATTATTATTATTATTATTAGAGGAGCAGATAAGGCAGAGGAAGGAATTGGAGCATATGGAGAAGGAGGCGAACATGGCAATAAGTAGACAACTGGTATTTTTCTCTCTTTAAAAGAAATCAATTTTCTCGATGCATTTTCAAAAAGCTTGCTTCTCCCAACAAAAACCGCTCAACGCATTGATATTCTATAACATTCCCTTTACTAGGAGGAGGTAGAGGGTGAGCAGTGGGGTAAACCAGGTCCAGGAGGATCCTACTGGAGACAATCTGCTCTTACAGGACAAGGATTCTTCGATAAAATGGTGAGAAGGAAATGTGGAGTAATTTGTCAGTAGTTAAGGGGAGTGTTCTCAAAAAATAAAAAAATGGATGGTATAGGCTTTCGTCGAAAAGTATTAGATGGTGATCGCTACTAATCTGACTTCTATCTGTTGCGTCTAGAAGGAGAAAATGGTTAAACACGACTCGACATACCAAAGAACGTAGCGTCCATACAAATTCACAAAGTTACAATTTTCGACTCAGATCGTAAATAATTCAATTTATTTCCAAACAAATCATTCAGATATTACAACCTTTAATCATCGAATTTTATTCGACGCACTCGTTTATTCATAGTTGATACTTCATAAAATTTGTTATTTGTTTTATAAACAACTAGCTTGGGAACCAAGTGCTTCCCAGGTTACTCATAGATACTCCAGCCGTTTACCCGCACTTGAACGATTTTACCGGGAAACTAAATTGTCGTTATTAAAGTCGACCCACTCAACTTAAAATTAAAAAACCAAGCTAATAACATTCCCATAGGTCTCCTGAGTTCCCAAATCAAAATTTGAGGCAAATCGGTCCAGGAGTTCATGACTTTTGATCGGACAAACAAACGGACAAACAGAGATTACAACTTATTACAATATGAGAAATATTGGTGAACATCTGATGACTTGATCTGTGATTAGGAATGGGCAATAGCCAGATTCGTTTTACAGACACTTTTAATGTTTTTATACTTTTAAAAGGTTTTGCGATAATATAAGAAGGTTCCAACATTTTAAAACTTTATTCTGTAGAAGTTCGCATTTATTAAACATGCAAATTTGTTACTCTAGAAGAAAATATATGGCAAAAAGATAGTTCTTGGGCTTTAAAACGATAGTTTTTGGTTCGTTTTTGCCATATATTTTCTCTTAGGATGGAAAAACCATAGACACACAAGGTTATAATACAAGGAAAGTTATTTCAGAGGCATGTATACGCATCTTTTGTACTGCAGTGTACTGTCTCCAAAGCGCCCACATATACAAAGGTCTAATTCACAGACTACGCAGACTGCTCAATTGCTCATAAACTCTACCTGGATAGGCTGAGCACTGAGCAGGCCTATAGTGTCCCGGCACGCCATTCTACGGTTCCATGTAATGTTTTTTCCTATTCAAAGGATCCTTAAATATCCCTGAATACAGATGTCTCCTGATTAGTCGTGTACAGTACTTTTACACAACAGTACATGCTGTGGAAAATATCGGATATTATAGGTGTTAATCGATCTCTATAACTCTCTTATCTCTGGTCTAATCTACTCGGATTGATGTAAAATGTACTGCCAGAATGCTTCATGACTCTGTTTAATGGTTCTTCCTCTATTTATTTATTACCGTCTTGTTGATGTTTGGTCTGACTAAGCAGTCCAGCAGGTTACAGCTTTCTCAGATTTCTATCGTATAAAAGCCATGTCTTTTCATAACAATCTGTGAGAATTAGCTAACACTCTGTTCTCCTTATTGACTGAGTATAATTCTGATCACCTCTAATTGGTTAATGAAAACAATTATTCACGTACGTTATAATAATATTTATTTATTATTCCAGGGTTGGTCCGGATCAGCTGATCCCAGGAAAAGACAGTACGGGATTAAAAACCATGAAGCAGAGGATATAAAACGGTTAGTCAGAGATCTACTGCTAGTAAATACAGTTTAACTTAGAACTTTGGAGTTATCGAAAGAATTTATAAAATTGTCAAGTCGTTTTGACAATTTTTTAATCGGTTTTCTAAACTATTTTACCTAGATCTCAGTAATTGTAAAATTGAACAAATATCCATGAACTACACGCGGGAACAGTTTTAAAGAGCTTCATATAATTGTTTAATTAAAAAACTAAATATCTGTATCAAAACCAATAAGCTTTCAAATATATGAAATAGTAATTTGTTGGTTTATCTGTTTGTTTAAGGATGTTAGAAGCTCTTGAAAACAGAACTGATAATTCTGTACCTACGTCATTTTTGATTGAGCTGCTAAACATTTGTTTGAAAAATAACATATTTGAATTTGGTGGTAAACTGCACAAACAATTGATAGGAACAGCAATGGGAATACATCCAGTCCCTTCCTATGCAAACATTTTTATGGCTAAGCTTGATGATCAAATTGTGAAACTTGCAAATACATACAAAATAACTGATGAGTGCCCCCTGAAGACCTGGAAAAGATTTCTGGATGATTGTTTTGGAATCTATTGAGAAATTATATCAATTCCTGGATGATATCAATAAAATTCATCCTACAATCAAGTTTACTCTAGAACATAGTTCTCCATTTTATTGTGGTTTAAAGGATGAACATGACTGTTGGTGCCACAGAACAAAAAGTATTCCATTTCTTGACACAAAACTGTACATTGAAGATAAAAATCACAACAGATCTCTACAGAAAACCCACAGATAGATGTATGTACCTACTTCCATCATCTTGCCACCCAGCACATATTTCTAACAACATACCTTATTCACTTGCATACAGAATTGTACGAATTTGCAGCAAACCAGAACTTAGGGATGCCCAATTAATCGATTTTGATGGTTATTATATCGTTAGAGCTGACGAGGGTCAACCCAGACCGAAATATATTTTCAATAAATGTGGAACTAACATCCACTTTTTTACTCTACAGAGGTTTGGTCCATCACCATCACTGAATTTTAAATCAAAAACCCCTATTCCGCGATTTTAGCCTCAAATTTTGATTTGAGGACTCTTTGTTGAAAATATGGAAAAAATAATAATATTTTCTTAAATATTAATGAAAATATTAATTATTAAAAATGATATTTAGGGAAATGGAGGATTCTAAAATAAGAAAAGATATTCAGCATCAAGATATGAATAGCAATGTGAGATATTTTCTAAAATATTTTGTAGTTTGTATAATTGGTAAAATATTTATATTTGTTAATATTTGTATTCTTGGGAAAATATTGAAAATATTGTCTTGTAAGAGAACCTTGCAGCCAGCAATATTCTTCAAAATAAAATTATTCAATTTTGCAGTTTATACCAATATTACATGCCTAAACAATTTCAACGTGGTATACCGGGACCGTCTAAAGTTTCAGGATTTAGCATGGTTCCCATTTTGTCTTGGTTTTCTTCAAATAATTTTTGTCTTTGAATTAGAAATCCAAAAATCGCACATTTTTAAAGTTTTAAACTACAATTTTCCGACACGATTTCAAAAATAGTTTCAGCTAATTTAGATAAAGTGTTAGGCGATTATATCAATATAATGAAGACGACTTTCGACTTCAATTTAGATTTATATCAAACTGTTATACACATAGTTATAGAAATCAAGGGAAGGTGTCAGTTGAAAAAGAATCTCTTTGATTACTTGTAACCTTGTAGATTAAAAAAAGATTGTTAACAATCAAAACGTAAATAAAAAAGTCGTCTTTATTGTATTGATATAATCGCTTACCACTGTACTTGATTTTAGATATTTTAAAACCTTGAATTGGTGACGATATTCAAAATTTAATAACCCTAATTAATTTTTATAAAAAAAATAATATGATGTTTTAATAAAATACATAAAATATTTTACATTTTCAAAAATAATTTAGATATATTTTAGTTTTATAGAAAGTGCTGCTCGTGCGTTTGATTTGGAAGAACAAAATATGGAATATTAAATAATTCAAAAATAATAATTTTCAAAATCTCAATTTTCAATTTGTTTAAGGTTGGATTGGAGCTGGTTCCCTTGATGAAAGACAAGGCGACTGGGAAACCACGAAAAGGAAAAATCTTGATAAATTATTTTTACAATCTTAGAAGTTAGAAAAAACAGTTGAACAGGGTGTACAGTGTGCACAACCTCAAAAACTAAACAATCAAAACTCGGGAAAACCTTGTATGCTTGTATTTCAAACAAATCTTAGCATATTTGATGAAACTTGATCCCTTTATATCAGACCAACAAACATATTCCAGACATTCCAGGCATTCCAGACATTCCAGGCATTCCAGACATTCCAGACATTCCAGACATTCCAGTACAAGTTTTAGAACTTTTTCAAATTGATCAAGTTACTTTAATATAAAGATAAAGTCTGTGCATGGCCTTAGTAAATCTATTAAAAAAGTAATCTCTGTTTGTGTGTGTTTCTATTCTCAATCATAACTTAGGAATACGTTGACCGATTCCCCTCTAATTTTGATATATTTTAATTTAATTTAGTTTGACCTAAACACTCTAGATTGAATGGATTGAGTTAAGAAGGAAATAGTTTCAAAGCAGAACTCGGTTTTCAATTAAGATTTACTATCATGCAGGAGGGGATATGCACTGACCCAAGTACATGTCTAAATATAGATATTAAGATGTTTATGTACAGACCCAAGTACATGTCTAAATATAGATATTAAGATGTTTATGTACAGACCCAAGTACATGTCTAAATATAGATATTAAGATGTTTATGTAAGACCCAAGTACATGTCTAAATACATATATTAATATTTTAATGTTACAGACATTATAAAGTAAATTAAAGATATTAAGATGTTTATGTACAGACCCAAGTACAGGGTATATGATGTCTCACGCTCTCCATTCTACTGATGTTACAAAGCTAGCTGATCGAAGAGGGTATCTATCTTTTACAAAAAAACAGAATTATTTTTTTCTATTGTTTACTGACTCCCCCTGTAATATTGTTTACTGACTCCCCCTGTAATATTGTTTACTGACTCCTCCTGTAATATTGTTTACTGACTCCCCCTGTAATATTGTTTACTGACTCCCCCTGTATTATTAGTACTGAGTACTCGAAGCCCCCTGCCCCTGAAGAACGGAAAAGATACTGGGACACTTTGACCGGCCAGGTAAGCTTCAGCCGTTGTCGTATATAAGAATACGACAAAGAAGACTTTCAAATTCAATTTTGATACAGCCCATCTCACATATAAGAATACATTGCAAGAGCCCATGTAATGTCGTCTTGTAAAAAAATTATGACAGATGTAATGCTTCATCATTGGTCTGCACAAAAAGAAAGGTGCTGAGATGTTCGCAGTTTCAAAGGGTTGAATACGATTTATGAAAATATATCCAAATATCTTTAAATACGCTTTTTACTTTTAATTCAACTTAAATTAGTAGCCCTGATATATACAGGAGAACAATTGATATATTAAACTCGTTTTCCGCGGCATTTGATCCTAGATATGAATAGAGAATATAGCAACATAATAAATAGAAGAAAATATTATTTATAACAATATTGGACATTCACATATACATGTTTTTTTTCTGACAATTTTGTAAATTTAAAAATATTTAGCAATAAACGTTATTATAATTATTATTATTATTATTATACTCTTGCTATGTATTCATATATCTGTGATTCAGGTGTGTATACGAAGCTTTTTAACAGAAGAAACAAAGAGAAGCTTTCAGTTGACAGCTCTTCCATTTGTTTACTTGTAAACTTGTAATTTAAAAACAGCCTACTAGAATTCTAAACTTAAATAGAAAGTAGTTTTCATTGTATTGATATAAACTCCAACAACTGTAGGAAAAGGGAAGCTATCAGAAACTTAGACTTAAGATTTACACTATTCTTAGGAAATTTTTTAAAACTAAATGTTAGTTAAAGAAGGTTGATTTTTAATTGATTTTGTGTGAAGGTGAGTGAGAAGATGGATAGTAGTCTGCGCACGCGCGAGCTGGATGACGAGCAGCAAAGACGACATTACGAATCCTGGGATTCGTTTTGGGGAAGGCCAGGATACGGAGCTCCCAGGTTTCTTTAAAATATATTTCTTATTTGAACCTCTGACATTACAGATATAACTGTAACCGTTCTGAGCTCAATAGTAAGAGGAATAGTTCCATTGATGTAACCCCTTCAGTTCTCATGCAAACCCGGAGCTAATCTCAGATTGGATAGCTCCGAATGTAACCCTTTCAATCCTCATACTCCAGCCTATAAATAGGACAACGTATTAGCTCTTTTGTATATTGGTATTGGTCGGACAGAAAGTGGGGCAGATGATAAGTAGCGAGAGTCTGCCAGAGAGCTCTGTCTTTCCATGATTCATTAATATCATTTTATTTGTTCTTTTTTTACTTGTAAATACCCTTTTTCTTATACGCTGTATATTTACTCACATCAGGTTCAGACTTCAGATTTCCTTTATTTCATGCCACTTTAAAATGGTAACAATAACAGATAGGACCACTATAATCGTTGTTGCACCTGCAGTCTAGCATTTCTTACTGTTCGAACTTTCATTTTAAGTTCCAGATCTATGGCAATTATAACTCTTGTTTTATCTATATAATATTCAGTGGACAGCGGGGCATAATAATAAATATATTTAGGGGGTAGCAGGGGCATAATAATAAGTATATTCAGGGGGCAGCAGGGGCATAATAATAAGTATATTCAGGGGGCAGCAGAGGCATAATAATAAGTATATTCAGGGGGCAGCAGGGGCATAATAATAAGTATATTCAGGGACACCAGGGGCATAATAATAAGTATATTTAGGGGGCAGCAGGAGCATATTAATAAGTATATTCAGGGGGCAGCAGGGGCATAATAATAAGTCTATTTAGGGGGCAGCAGGGGCATAATAATAAGTATATTCAGGGGGTTGCAGGAGCATAATAATCAGTATATTCAGGGGGGCAGCAGGAGTATAATAATAAGTATATTCAGGAGGCAGCAGGGGCATAATAATAAGTCTATTCAGGGGGAAGCAGGAGCAAAATAATAAGTTTATTCGGGGGGTTGCAGGGGCATAATAAAAAGTGTATTTAGTGGGCAGCAGGGGCATAATAAAAAGTATATTCAGGGGGTAGCAGGAGCATAATAATCAGTGTATTCAGGGGGTAGCAGGAGCATAATAATCAGTATATTCCGGGGGGCAGCAGGGGCATAATAATAAGTATATTCAGTGGGTAGCAGGGGCAGAGGCGCAACTAGGACTTTTGCT